AAGCGCCGCGGAACAAATAGAGCCAATTTGTTTCTATAAAAAGAACGTCGATGCTAGCGTTGAGACTGAAAATCGAGCGAACCGCCGGACAAGAGAGAGGGTGAGATTATTAATTGAAGAGCTGGTCGCGCTCGCGGAAAGTGGACGACATTCCAGATCGTCGGAGACGGGCTTGAATAATGGAGATGCGCGATGGAGAGCGCGAGTCATGCGGATTGGGATTCCGATTCTGCGGCTCGCTGCCAGCCTCGATGTGATTAGCGTTTAGCGTGCGCCGGCTACGACTGACGCACCACCACGCCGCAGCAACAAGTTTGTATCGATTGGCGCTTCTGCGTGTGCTCGTGGCCCGCCTCGATCCAGATCTTTCTTTCTTTCGAGAGGCTGCTCGTCGGCTGGCTTGGATCGGTGCGATCTTAGCCGCGCGACCAACTTGCACTTGGCGCTGTAATGCCAGTCGTAAATCGGCCGGCCTATCTTGCAGCCGATCGCGCGATCGACGAGTGGCCCTGCGCTGAAAATAGCTTTGCGACGGACCGCTACGCAACCATTTGCCACTCGGAATAGCCCCCCTTATCTCAGCGCTTTGCACACGATCCTTACTCGCACCTTTCCTCGTCACGTAACTTTTCATCGACCGTTGCGACTGCACGCCGACTGCCTTTTAGTTGCACGGCACGTGGCAGTAGTCGATGTCAACGTCGGAGCAGACCTAGCGATCGTCTCTCGTCAATTCGTCTTTCCCCTCGTCTTTCGTGTTTACAAGTATTTCGTTTCCATCGCGAGATGATTTAAGCGCCGTTTACACGACGTTCGCCCTCGGGAACTCGATTCATTTTGCGTTATGTAAATGCTAAGCGTCCTTGGATATCTTTTGATTTGTTCGTCATCTGCGTGGGCTCGAAAGGCGACGCGTGGTCGATAGAAAAAGCCAGATGTACATTTGCATCGCGAAACCCGAGGAAAGCCACTGTTCGACAAGCGAGTCGAACCGTTGCCGAGGGTCGGAAGACGATAAAAGGCAAGCGTATCGGGAACGGGGACGAGGATAATGCGCAGGGCGCAGGCATCCGAGAATAAAACCAATCGAAAGTTATTCCACGCACGAAAGGGCGGGCAGGTGTTGCTGATGATAACGTAGGAGCAAGTATTGATCTCGAGTAGAAGGCGAACGAACCTCAGTTCTCTCAGTTGTCGCGAACGCTCATTGATATTTATTCTGGCTGCGGCAATAACAATGACTTACAATTTGAAAGGTACTCTAGCTCGTGAAAAGTTTGGATCCGCGGAGAAAAGTTGTACGATCCAGGGATCCAGGGGGAGGCAGCCGAGAGGATGCGCGAGGTGATAATCGCAGAATGCATCGGACAGCGAGGAGCAGCAAATTGCACAAAGACGAGAATAATGCCGGGATAATGGATTCAGACTCGATGATTTGTCGGAAAAGACTCGATGAGCGTAGCTATAAGGGAAAGCAATTGCAGTTGGCGTTGACGTTGCGCGTTCAAACACACCATCGAACGCTAGATCCGCATAGACGAAAGCGGGCTATAGCTGCGTGATAGAGGAGATCGAGCTGCTGCTTTGCCGCATGCTCATATTCCTATTATGTTCCTAGGTATAGGCGGCTCATATACTATTCCGATGCGCTTAATTACATGCATTTCATAAATTCGAATGATTATGCAGCGCGGAGGGTGGACGATGCATGCGCGATCGCTCATAAATTATTACCCGACTGCCGCCAGTATACGTGTTGCTGCTCGCAGCTCGCTGCATTAATTATCAAGCTATTCTCCGATCGACAATTTCGAGTCTGCAGCTCGCGATATTTTATATTTTCTCGTGGCGCCTCTGTATTCCGAAGAGTTGTGCGACGCCAAATTCGAGCCCGTCTGCATACGAGTTGCCTCGGCACAGACCCAGCGCCAGAACATTGTCGCGAGCCCTGGCACGCGAATCGTTTGATGCCCGTCGAATTCGCCCACAAATAAGTAATGCGTAAGCCACGCCGCGATAGGTGCGAATTCGCTACCAACGACAGCTGAAAGCCTTGTGTGCTATAGATGCAGAGGCTAGAAAAGAAGCGGAAATAAGCACATAAATAAGCTATCGACAGATCGAAGAAATATTGAGCTATCGAGTCGATAAGGCTAAAAATTAGCCTGCGGTTCACCGGGGAAAACGGACCGAAAGCCGATGTTGCCCGACGGCGCTGCGATAATTATGCAACGAATAATCCACCTGGACAGGGAAAAAGGGAAAAATATTGGTGTAGTAGCGGCCTCTTGCTATTTGCGTACACCAGTAGAGCTTGTTTATGAAACGCACCGAAGCGCTTTGCACAGGCTCGAGGCTGGCCCTAGCCACCAGCTACGCTCACAGCGAGCCCAAACCGTTGGTCGACTTGCTCGCTTTGACGCCGCGTTCGCCAAAAGTAATCCACGGAGCAAGCCATGGAGGCTCCGGTCGTTACACAACCAGTTTCCCGAGCGCTGCGTCATCATATATACGTTAATCGACCGGAAGGTATTAATGGCATAAAGATTAAGCCAACTGAAAGGCTCTTTTGAGCGCGCGTACACGAGTAACCGCGGCTCGCTGCACAAAAGGCCCGCCGAGTACAATTGAACAAAACGCGTCGCGCAGAAGGTGGCTCGGGTCATTTACCCCCGGGAAGATGAATAATTGCAACGCCACGTTAGGATATAGCAGTGAAGCCGTTCGCGTACATATACTACTCGGACGGTCAACCCTTGCGTCCGCGAGCGCGCCGTGTGTGACTCGCGAGGCGACGAGCGCTTAACGAGTACTTTGTTGTTTTCGATTGATCGATCGGTCGATCGCTCGGCGTCGAGCAGTGCCGCCAGGCAAATGTAGCGCTTGATAAAGTAATCAAGCAGTGCCGCACACTGCGGCTTCGGAGAGTAAGTAGTCCGGACGAGCGGACAAACCGGCTTGCGGTCTCGGGCACATCAGTGCCGCGGTTCGAGTCGGCTCGAGTGTCGCGTGGAATACGGGCCAGGTGGCTGCGCCGGGCCGCTTTGTCTCGTCGCGAGATATGGGGGTCGCGGCGCGACGTCGCGCGTGGGCGCGCTGCCTTTGTCGTCATAGTCTTGCGCGACTGCGGTTAGCGCGTCAACGACGAGCTCGGCTAGTTTTAGTTGGCCACATAGCCTGTCTTTGTCTCGTCTCGGGCGCTGCGAGTGGGCGTTTTACATTCTGACGTCGCGGCGCGCGAGCTGACTGTGCCGGTTCTCGCGCGCCGCTCGTAGTCTCGGCGCCTCGCATTGTCGTCATAACGCGCAGCTTATTTACCTACTGGCAGCTCGCTATTTGTTTTGCCGTCTTTGTCTTGGGACCTTGCACGGCCTTGCCGTCCTTTCCACGACCCACTTGTCGCGCTGCTCGCTCGCCCCTGTAATCGGCTGCCAATTAGCGAAGCGCCGCGGCAGGTCTGTCGCGAATGCGCCGGACGCGACCGACAAAGCGGTTTTCGCGCGGCTGCTTCCTCTTGTCTTTCAATTAGTCGCAGGCCCCATTGTGCCGAGGAGCACAATCGCCGGCCATCTCGCCGAGCGATAGCCGGCTCGGGCTTGCAATGGTCACAAGTGCACGCTGCCACGTAAGCGATCGGCGGCTCGACTCGCTCGCGGTCTCCGGTCAAACGTGTAATCGACCGAACGTTGCCGATGGTACGCGCGAGTGGAGCATCGATCGGGGAGCCCGAGGTATTTTCAGGACTGGCAGCTGCGGGCGGAATGCCGCCCAAAGTCCAAACAATGGGAATGCGCATCGCGCATCCGGGCGAGAACGCGCGTATAACTGTGCAGCTATAAGCGCGCGAGACACACAGCCACTCGATTATCAGTTCTGGGTCAAGTAGAGTGCGAGGAGTCGGCCAGAACTGCGGCTAGATGATCGCGCGCGCGCACGAGCCGCCAAGCGATGTGATCGATAAGAGATACATTAACAAATGATTCGCTCGTTAGGGAGGCCGGAGCTTCTTGGCCGCGCTCGCCCGCAGGCAGACTGCCGGGGAGTCGGCGAAAGGCTCGAGCGCGTGTCCGCGTTGTTTGGCGGCTACCGGTGGCACTCGGTTGGGCTGGGCGCGGTTGCCTGCGTCATTGCCCCCTCGGACAGGCTGCGCGGACCAGCTATAGTTGTTCGCTCGAATGTAATGACGTCAGTGGCGCGCGAGCGCTCTCTCTCTCTCTCTCTCACTCTCTCTCGCTTGGCCGCTCGTCGTTCTCTCGTCGTTCTCTCGTCGTTCTCTCGTCGTTCGCTCGCGCCTCCACCCACCTCCAGCTGCGTGCAACCCAGTGGGTCCCGCTGCCACCGTGATTTCCAGTCGAGAGCGAGACTCGCTGCGCGCCACTCGGCCTCCACGCGTTATCGATTCAGAATAAACCGCTACATCAATTTTCGGAGGTCCCGCGCGCGCGTGCCGCGCTGATGAATCTTTTATTTACGCAGGGACGCGTCAAGGTCAGCATTTTTTCCTTTTCAGGGCCGACATTGCCGCCCGCCCGCCCGTACAACGCCCTCTCGTACATTCGTTACTCTCTCTTCCCTTCGTCCATTCAATTGTACGCCCCTTCGCCCCTTCGCCGCTGCTCCCCTCCAGCTGGCGCCTCGCTTGCCGCTTTTACGTGCATTCTAGCGGACCTCACCGCACATTGATTCGCCGAAAGAAGAAGAGTGCTAGCGGGCAGAATTATAAATGACCGATGCCAGGACCCTGCGTGATTGACCAGCCTAAAGCTACTTCCGTGTCACACGCCAAGTACGCACGAGCAATGCCTTCGAATACACGCTCGGAGCTGGAGTGTTCGAGCTATGTTTAGCGACAGCTGCGAACGAGATTTGGCCGACTCGAAGCACGAGAACACCGTCGCGGCCAGAGACGGCTCTCAGCAAAAATATATCAGCCGATCGACCGATCTAAGCCTCGCCCGTCGGAGATGGAGCGAGAACGGAAAGCACGCGTGTGTACTCACCGATGAGAGGCACGTCGTAGCTGCGGTCGTTCCTCGAGTTGAACATGAAGCTGGACGCGGCCATGCTACTGCCAGCCTGGGCGAGGGCCTGCGCAGCCTCCTGCGGCTCCTGCTGGGGCATCTGCTGCCTTCTGGACGCGCTGATGCGGCGCTTGCTCGAGAGCGGCTTGTCCGAGAGGCCCCTGCGCTTGGCAACGACCTGCTGCTGGACTCTGCTGCGCCTCGACGGCCTCGCCGGCTCCTCTGCCAGCTGCGACTGAGCTCTGCTCGTTTGCTGCTGCTGATGCGCGACGTCGCCCAGCACGCTCGTCAGCACGTCGTCTAGCAGGATGAGTCGGTCGTGGCCGAGCACCGGCCCCGCGCGCTTCTCGTACATGAGCCAGTCGTGCACCGCCTCCCTCATTTGCTGCTGCTGCTGCTGCTGCTGCTGCTGCTGCTGTTGCTGTTGGTGGTGGTACTGCTGCTGACGGTGCTGCTGGCGACTAGGCTCGAGGGCAGCCGACTGTCGGTTCCCAAGGGCCAGTGCCAAGCTCAGTCCGATGTAGCTCAGCAGCCAGAGCACGCGATTCGAGCACATGGTCCGGGCCTGAGAGCCTCGCCGCCGCCGCACGGCGACCGCCTTGGCTGACTTGCTCCTCGGCCGCCCTCGGCTTCGCCTTCTGTTCTTCTTGCTCGCTATATAGAGTCGATGTTGGACTTGTCGATTTTTGTCGATTGTCGCTGCTGCTGCTGCTGCTATTGCTGCTTGCGCGCTCTGGTCACGGGTGCTGTCGTCGCCGAACAAGGAGGAAGAGGGCGAGCGAGGTCCTCCGGGTCTTTGGCCCAGTCTGCTTGCTGCTCCCCGAAGGCTCTCTCAGTCGAGCGACAGATTGGTAGCTCGAGAGACCGAGAGCGGGAGAGAGAGAGAGGCAGCGAGAGAGAGAGAAAGAGAGAGAGAGAGAGACAGAGAGCGACAGAGAGAGAGAGAGAGAGAGAGAGAGAGAGCGATCGCCGCGTGTCACGTCGCGAGCAAATCCGACTGGCAGATGCTGCGGCTTGGAGCCTGCTCCTCGGCGAGTCCCGATAGTCGCTGGCTCGCGGCAACTAGCATACGTCGACTCGTTGGTCGTTGACGTTGCTGCTGGTGCTCCCGCTAGCGAGGCGGAAGTGGTCGCTTGTCCCTGACTTGTGTTGCTCTGCTGCACTCGCGCTCGCGCCTGCGTTCGCTATCATGATGCAGACGCAGTCGCCGCCGCGGACTGCAGCCCTTGGTCTTTTCGCGGCTGCTGCCGCTTCGGCCGCTTCAGCCGCGTAGTCGCTCAACGATCGTAGCTCGTCGTCGTTCCGATGGTGCCGCTGCCGCTGTCCTGAAAGTCAGACGGATTTACGCGTCGATTAATAATCAACCGAGCTCGTGGGGCAAGTTGCTTTGTCACTAATGATTCGCATCGAATCCATGTTCAACTTGCTCTCGATATGTACAACTTGCGGGCTTGCCTATAAATGTTTATGTACACCCACGCCTAACATGCCCATCGTCCGATCGCCGCCCTTTTGGTGCATGGTGCAAGGTGCATCGGCCACAGGCCCTCGTTCTCACAGTGCTGTCGTTCACAGTGCAGATCATCCTCTCACGTATACCCTTTCGCTCGGCCAAGTGCTCTTTTGGTGCTTAACTTTGCTGATTATTTTTGGTGCTTATTTTTGGTGCTTATTTTTGGTGCTTAGTTTTGGTGCTTTGTGGTGCAGTACAAGAGAACGAGGAAAAGAGAGGATGGTGCCGACTCGTCTTTCCTCATCCCACTCCCTCTTTTCCTCTCTCTCTTCTTCCGTTCCACTCGCGCTCGTCAGACACTCCACGGCTATGTACAGCGCTCCCACTCGCGCTCGCACTACTCGCAAGACTCGCCGATTCAACCATTGCCGTCTCTTTTAACCGAACGCAGACACCTACTTACACGTCATGTCGGAAAATTGATAACTCCCATTCTGGCCTTTGCCCGTTTATATATACACTGTCAAATTGCTTTTGCTTTTTCTTTGCGATTGATTTCCTTCGGTAAATATCACGCCAATTGCTTGGCTTCAACCATATCAAATTTACATGTACAAACTCTTACAATCCAGCTAAGATCGCTTTTCGCATACATACACACATGTACGCAAATATCAAGAAACATTCCTTAAAACTAGTCGTAAGTCTATAATATGAATTATAACAAAAACCACAACGATACAACAGACGTGACAATGAAAATACACGACAAACGATAATAATAGTTGAGGCAGTGGCAGAGAGATAGAGGCGCAAGTATAAGTGGAAAAGAACAGTGCGTAATAATGATTTTAAGGTGTGATATTCATACAAACACACACACGCACACACACACACACGTTCAAGGTGTAAAGTACAAGCTAGCTAATAATGATAAACCATGCATCGAGCGAGGTCGACAGTTTGCCGACTCCGATCGAGTTGAATCGGACTCGGGGACAATTGGATTAGGATGGATGCTTGTCTCGACTTGATGCCTAGACTATACGTAGTTGCTACGATTTAAGATTGCGACTGGCCGGCGGAGACCTAGCTGGGACGCGCGAGGTGTGTTGTGGGACGAGCAGATGCCGCGTACGCGTAAGTAGCAAAGTTTCTAGGTGGGTGCTGCGCGCACGCGAGAGAGAGAGAGAGAGAGAGTGTGTGTGTGTGTGTGTGTGTGCGTGTTCGCGCACAGCGGAGGCGCGGAAGGACGCGCAGCGCAGTCCTTTTGCTGTTGGGCGCGCGCCAAGAGAGAATCACGCAGGTGGCCAAAGTACGTTACAGAGGCGTGCAGCCCCTTGACGGGGCGAGAGGGCCGCGCGGATCGATGACAGCAGCCGCGCCGATAGCTCTTTCCGGTTCCCCTTCCGTTGCCGTCCGCGGAGGCAGAAATAGGAGTCACAGCAGCACGCCGCGGACACTCTGGCAACGCCTCGTCCAAAGGTGGGCAGCAGTGGGGCGCCAATTTGCCAGTAACGAAAAACGGGCTGAAACGCGAGAGGCCGCCCGAGCGAGGAATTCGATAGATGCACTGTACACGGGCTATCAACAGGTGCGCCTACGCGAGCTCGGGAGCCGAGAGTGCGCCAGACAGAGATGAACGCCGAACGTCATTAACTCGCGGTGACTGCTGCTGCTGCTGCCGCTGTTGCTGCTGCTGCTGCCGCTGTTGTTGCTGCTGCTGTTGCTGCGGCTACGCTAGTCGCGAGGCAGAGATGACAAGCTAGGACGCACGGAGGGATGCCGATGGAGGCGAGCGGGCTACGTGTCTTTCGGAGCTGCTGCTCGTCGGTCGCTGGCCAACCTAGTTGCGAATACTTGCTTCTGAGCCGCTGCCTCGGCGAAGCGTCGGCGGCGTCGTCGTTGTCGTCGTCCTCGTCGTCCTCGTCGTCGTCCTCGTCCTCGTCGTCCTCGTCGTCCTCGTCGGCGCCGTGGCAGTCGTCGCTCGTGGTCGTCTGTTGAGCATCCTCCTCGTCGACGGCGACTTCGCTACTGACGTCAGTTCTCGCACGCACTTTCTCTCTCTCGCTCTCTCTCTCTCTCTCGCTCTCCCGTTCACTCTCGCTCTCTCTCGCTGGCAAGCTGGGCCTCCCGCTCTCCCTCTTCCTCCTTGATCCCGCGACTCAGCCTAGCACTCGGCCGCGGCGCTCCGCTTCAGGGCGCGAGCCTCGAGCAGTTGGCCAGCCGCACTGGCACTCTCGTTATCGTGCCCGTGACGTGGCCGTTGCGCGCTCGGCTCTCGCTGGCGTGGCCGCCCTCGCGGCTACTGCTGTTGCTGCTGCTGTGCTGCTGTCGCAGAGCCGACACCACCGCGAGGCACTTGCGTCGTTTCAATGCCGTCCGTGTACGTGGGCGCCACGGAACACGGGCCGAGCGACGAAGCTCGCTCACAGCCAACGACGAACTGTGCGCCGGTCGCGAGCGAGCGAACGGATGGCAGCTGCTGGCACGCGACGACGTCGACGTCGACGGCGGCTGTGCCGTTAGCCAGCAGCGCCAGCGCTAATAGTGCTGCTGCTGCTGCTGCTGCTGCTGCTGCTGCTGCTGAAAGTGGAGGTGGAGGCGGAGGTGGCGGCGCTGCTGCTGGCGGCGGCGGCGCGCCGCCGCGACAAGGAGAGGGTAGGTCGGCCGCTCACGGACGGCACGCACGGCTGTGGGTGGAGAGCGAGGAGCGGCGGCAGGAGGGAGGCGGCGGACGGCGGCGGCGGCGGCGGCAGCAGCTTGCAGCCACGTCGCGCTCTGACGTCGGCTCGTCGCGGCCACGCAGCAGTCGGGCGCCGCCGCCGGGCTCGTCCTCCCTGCCGCGACGACGCCCGGCTGCCCGCCGCGCGGCCACCATTCATCCGGCGCTGCGGGCCGCAGCCGGACTGGCGCAGGAAGCCGCCTTGCCCGCGTCCTCGCCAGAAGCTCGCTCCCACGCGCGTCGCCCTCCCCTCCCCGCCGCGGCCGCACTCGCTCGCGCGCGCTCTCTCTCTCCGCGACCCTGTCCGCTGCCGCTCGCCTCCCTCTCTCCACCGACTATCAACAACAAATACGCGCGCGCGTTTACTCGCGAAACCGCCTCCCCACTTGCACCTCGCGCTGCCTATCGACGCAACTCACTCCGCTGTTTTGTCAGCCGCGAGCACTCCTGAGCGTTGCTTCCTTCCCGGCTCTCGTCGAGTCACTCGTACTCGCTATCGACGTCATCCGTCGCACGTATGAGCGGACAGGCTTCGAACTAGCGGGCCCATCGGTCGATTTTCAAGTGGAATCCCATTACGTAACATGGCCACATGCGATTGCGATTGCACAGCGTCGTGTCGGAGCTGCGAGAGAACAAATCCCTCTTGATACTATTAGCGCTGCAGGCAGTGCAGGCAGCTCAGGAAAGCGCTCAAATCAATATCTAATTTATAGTAGAGTGCGATATTGTGGCGATGTTGTGGCGATACTATGGGAAAAAAAAATAGAACAGACGCGCATAAGGTGCCAACCGGAACACCGTAGCAACGTTTATAAACGCTATAAAAACAACCTATCGATATTTTTTTATTCGGGTATTTCGAGTATGCGGGTATTTCATCATCGATCTACTCACGGTTAGAGATGAAGCAAACAACAACAGAAGATTCCTGATTGGATATGCTCAGCGTTCGATAAAACTACGCAAGTTGCGTGTATAATTGGATTTGCTCGTATTTTAAGTGCCAGTGAAGATTTTATTAATAGGCCGATAGCATATAACTTGCCAATCATTTACTTACAATCATAGGAATGAACAAGTGTCGTCAACAGCAGACTAGAGATTGAATTGATTCGAGCCGAGCACTTCGTAACAAACAACAACAACGACAATGGGTACTGTTATCGACGCGATATATAAGTTAGCATTATCAGCAAGTGTATAGCGGTGCAACGAGCTACTAAGAACTTATGTAGAAGAGTGTTGACATCTCGGATATGATGGATTCGATTATACCCGGCGAACGTTCGCGCGCTTCCTTTTATAATTAAGTTGATTTTCTGAAAAAATGTCTACGAGATGAACCGTCGACATTCGCATACGTAAGCTTACGGAAAAGAGTATCTTTCTGCGTCAACGCGTAACGAGCTGCTTTTTCTAACTACAGCTATACCACGTATACGAGTAATAGAGAGACCTCAATTCCACAAAGAGAGCAAGAGTGTCGAGTTGAATCAATTGAATTAATTTTCGTAAAAATGTTACCTTTTACTTACCTCGAACGGCCGCTCGTTTATAACTGATCCCTCACTTTACTGTGAGCTGCCCCGCAACAATTCACACCACGAGACTCTCTACTTGCCAACTTTGCTATTTGGGCTAGCTGCGTCGGCAACTCTATATCCAGAGGCTGCAATTATCCCTCTTTCAACTTTTGGGACCCTTGCGCGGGACAGCTAGTCACTCATTGGCACGGTTTTGTCGGTTTTATTGTCGATTAGTTTTTCACCAGCAAGTGACAACAAGTCAGCATGTTTTCCGAAACCAGTAATGGCCAATCTTACGTTTGCTTAAAATTAATTAATCCTATGCAACAATATTTTTTTAAATGAGCAACATTGCATTAATTATTAATTTTGATTTTAAATATTTCACAAGATCTAATGGTCAACGATGGATAAACTAAAAAGTGCAACATCGCACATTTCTAACAATCAACGAAGACAGATCCACAAATCCACAACACCGGCAGCTTTCTCTTTGTTCTCGTACAGGGTTGCGCTAGCACTTCCCGCTCGTGTGCGGACAGTGTCCCGAGCGATGGGTGCTGTCTCGGGCTATACAGAAAAACCGAAAGAAAAGGCAAACAATGGTGCTTCGATTTTCTACTCTCCGGGGACAATATTTTGCGAACGGACCAGCCATAACTAAGTTTGTTCAACAACCGACAAGGAAATCCTGTAGCTGTACGACCAAAATATTTTCCAAGACAATAACCTCTCGAGCTCGCGCTTAATTGATTCGTCGATCCGAAAAATCTAGCCGCCCTCGCAAGGCTACATAGAAAGACAATTGCTACGACGGAATATTCAGGTGGTTTTCTTTTGGCCGAGTAGGAGTATGAAAAAGCGTCGGAGGCTCCACGAGACATAGATGTAGGTGGTGCGTGGCTCATACATGAATTGTGCGTGAAAGCGTCTGCACGCACGTGCAAACAAGTTGATCAATAATGAAGCAGTAAAAAGCAAAAGTCTATAAGCTGTGCCGGTATGCGCGTAACATTCGGTCAAGTAGACACGAATTAAATTAAGACGGAGGTGGGATGTTTTATGCACGAGGCTGAAAGTTGGCTTATTAATAAATAACAGTAGCCTTCGCAACGTCGCGGCTGCCGGTGAATCGTGCAAATGACCGTACGAGCGGCGACGCGCTATTGAATAGTCAGAGTGCGGAGAGCGTTGAAAATAGTCGGGGGCCTAATTTCGGAGGGCTTTTCAGCCGCCTAGCCGTGGGTGGGTGCGCGCGCGAGGACGGTGGACGCGTGCGTCGAGCGTGACGCAGAAGCCAGAGGGGCCGAGAGGGGCTTGCGGCGCGCCCGCGGGCCAACCGCGATGCAACGACCTGCGCACCCCGATAACGCGGCCGAGAAAGCAGCGGGCGCACAAAGCGCGCTTTGCGGACCAGATGAAAGTCGAAGCCCGCATGGCTAATGGACGCGCCGGGGCTGGCGCGGGGAGAAAGACGCGGCTGACAGGTGGAGCTGCTGGTGCGCGGCGAGTGTGCGCCGGCGCCGGTCGCGCCAGGATGAATGGAGGCGGCACGACGAGTCGGGCCGGGGCTCGCGCGCCGCCGCTGCCGCCGCCGCCGCCGCCGCCGCCGCTGAATGAACCGGGCAGCGCGAGCGAGCGAGGAGCAGGCCCCCAGGGATGGCCGGGGACTCGCTGCCGATCGATCCCGAGTCGAAAGCACTTCTCCTTGGACTGACGTAGACCGAGCCTACGCAGCTCGCCGCCGACTCGATCGATCGATCCCGCCCGTTCATCCGACGCGCGCCGCCGCCGCCGCCGCCGCCCCTTCCCCTTCCTGCCTGCCTTCCTGCCTGCCTTCCTTCCTTCGGCGCATCTCGCTGGCCGTAGCCCCCGCTGCAGGCACACAGCGGCAACCCGCGACCGTGAGCGCGCGGACGTGTTTGGCTCCTTGCTTTGTTGCGCACTCGCCGGCAGATTCGAGCGGATGCCAGCTCCTTCGACGTTTGCCCGGAATGCTCGCACTCGAACGTTCCGATCTCGCTCTCGGAAGACCAAAGGTTCTTGGCGTGCAAGTGCCGTCGCGTCAGGAGTTGCGGCTGGGCGATCGTCCGGAAAGCAAAATGCCGCGCGAGGGTAGCTTTGCAGGAGTCCAACAAGTTGCTCGTACGTGGCAGCTCGGCGGGGCCAACCGAGGCGGGCAGCCGTAGCGAACGACGGCATCTAGGGATCGCTGATAAAGCAACGCCTCATTAGGACTGCTACTCGTCGACGAGGGTGAGCACCAGCGCGCGAAGAACGAGCGCACAGCTAAGTAGCTCGAAACCGGAACTAGGCGACGACGTAATATATAATGTGGCTATCGATTGGCTATGAGCCATAACGGCGACGAAAGATTTCCCTCGTGAACAAGTAAATACGTGTAGGTCGGCCGGGCAGGCCGGGGCGTGGACTGCGCCACGCTTTGCTTTTAGCATCGATAGCGGCGCCCACGAACGAAGGCCATTTACGCTGCACCCGTTCGCGCGATTTGCGCTGGCAATGCACCAGCCGAGAGCTCACCGTCGTCGAATGTTCGAACGAGACGAACGCTGTGCTTTCATTGCCATCATACGGCAAATCATACGGCCGACTGGTCGATCTCGCTTCTTTCGGTTTGTGTCGGTTACACCCCCCGAGAACTGCCGCTCGATCGGTCGATCGTTGGATCGTGTACCGATGGAACGTCGGAGGATGTTGATCCGATTGTAGAGGCACCGAGCAGCAGGCAGCGAATAAGCGGTCGAGCAATCGAGCGTGACTGGAAAATAAGGAATGGTCGAAGAGCCGAGTCAGGCCAAGCGAAACAAGCTTAGGCGGTGGGGCAGAGGCACAGCGCTCGAAAGAAACGTGGCCAGACTGGAGGCTCGCGTTGCTTAAATTAGCGAAAGTGCAGCGAGAACCGGTTTAAATATAGAGCAAGTTTGCCGCAAGGGCATACATCGATTGTAATATAAAATTAAGCGTGCAATTATATGCGAAAATAGAACCATGGTCAGCAAACACAGCTGGGTACAATGAATGTAGGCACGGGTATGTCGAGTGTCCGGCGGACGGGTGCAAAGCGGCAACACTCGGACTCGAGCCGCGGGGCACTTCACAGTCTCGCGGGAGAAGGCGCGCTAGGGCGCGAGACCGTTTGCGGTCGGCGATGGGTTCGCCCGGGCCAGATCGGCACTGCGGAGTAAGGCTACAGACCCATCCTACGGGTCCTTGGCGAAGCCGCGGGTGCAGCTGTCCAGCCGCTTCGCGTATCGCCTCCGGCCCCTTGCGCCCCACCTTCTCGCCATCGCTCGATTATTCGCGCCCGCGGCTTCCTCTCCAACCCCGACCGACGTTCCCATCCCTGATCCCATCCAGCGCGCTCGTGCAAAGCGCGCTCTGCCTGCCTCGACTGCGAGCCGTCGATCGCTCGACGATTGTGCTTCTGTCGAGACGGCAATTGAGCTCTCGCGTCCGAAGCGCTTATCGGGTCATCGCGTCCAATCGTTCCGCCGATGTATTTTCGTTCCGCTGAGTCGCTCGCCCGTTCGCGGTGGAACTTGGGCGAATCCTGATTTCTCGGACAATGCGTCTCGGCTCGGCGCGGCGACGGGCTGACGATGGAAATAGCAGCAGAGCTTGCGGGGCGCTAACAGCTGTCTTTCTTTCTCTGGTGTTCGAGACAGCGATGCGTCGTCGTCTTTTCGCTCTCCCTCGTAAAGCACTTGTCCGTCGCGATCGATACAACTATTTTCGAACGGCAAAGCCAGCGCGAGTGCGCCCGAGGCACGAGAGGACGCGCAGACGGCGAGGATGGGGATCATCGACTCCGCGCGCGGCGCCAACCGACGCGGCTGTTGTCGCTTGACGTTCGCGCTACTCTGTTGCCAAAACGGAGATATGCGTCGGACTGCTTGGATGAAATGTGGACGCGCGTCTCGAATGCGCATTATTTTTAGTAATCGAGTTTGTAGGAGGTCGCTAGCTGGATCGATAGTAAAATAATGACGTCAGGCTCGACTAATGCCGTCAGTACGTGATATTGCCCTTCTTCTCTACATATACATGACGTCGATGCGCGAGCTAGATAACGCCGTCGAGCGATTGCCGAAGCTCATACAGCTGGTTATAGTTTATCCGCGTGCTGTCAAATTAAAACATTAAGACGGCGTGCGCACGGCCGGTCAATTGCCAACGGGATCGAGGCAGCTCGCTCTTTCTCTCTCTCTCTCTCTCTCTCTCTCTCTCTCTCTCTCTCTCTCTCTCTCTCTCTCTCTCTCTCTCTCTCTCTCTCTCTCTCTCTCTCTCTCTCTCTCTCTCTCTCTCTCTGCCGGCCAGCTTTGAAAGAGCTCCGCGAACCAAGGAGTAATGCGTGGCCACGTTGTGCAGGTCGATCGATAAAGTCTCCATCTCATCGTCGCACGTGAATTGCGCAAGCGAAACGAGATTATAGTTGGTTAGTGGGGCTTAAAAAGGGGAGCTGCGCATATTGGATTTGACGAGCCGGCCGCCGCCAGCGCATCGAGCTACAGCTCCTGTTGTCTTCGTCCCCTCGTTAGACGATTAATCGGCTCCCGGCAAAGCGACGCGCGCCCCGTGTGCATAGCTGCTCGCGGTCGGGCGGCAAAGCTCTTTTGCCGTCCGCGAGGCGCTTGGCTCGGTCCTCGCTCGAGCGGCGCAAGACAAGTTACAGTCGATCGGTCGGTCGATCGGTCGGTCGATCGCTCGCGCGGTTCCCTCTCTCACGCGACGCACATTATCAGCCGGAGCCCGGATCCGTTGACTCGCGTTACGCAATAGGCGCGCGACTCGCGACTCGCTACGAGCATACGTGTCCCGATAAGCCGTGCGCGCGCTCGCGAATAAACAAGCCAGGCGTTATTTGGACGAGCAACCGGCGCCTCTCGATCCCACAGCAGTTTGACATTGGATCAGCAAGCGGAATCCCGCTCGCGCCTCTCCTCGCTCCGATGGCACTTGCACGACGCTTAGCGGCCTCGCTCGCACGCTTGGTATGCTCTCGCTACACTTTATCTCTCGCGACTTGCCGACCACTGCCGTTCGGCTTGCTACCGCTGCTAACCGCGTTTTTTCCTCTCGATTTGCCTGCCACAGCTCGTTTTCCTGCTTCCTCCGCTGCTTTGCTCTCGGCTTTACTTTCGGTCAGCGGTCACAGCTGCGCGTCGTCCGCGCTCTGCCAATCGACGCTTGTCCACTTGTCCTTCGAAACTCGCCAGATTGAGCAAAGTCATGCGTGGCAACGCGCGCCTCCGCGCCTTTCACTCCAATCCCCACGCGCGACTCTGCAAGTCAAATTTTCGGATAACCATTTGTACGAGGCTCGTTCGACGATGACTCTTCCTTTCGTAACATCATCTTATCGACCTTACTCGATACCGCTTTCCCTACGTGCACCATTGCACTGGCACTCGTACAGGTCAAATCTGCAAACGGCCAACGTCTTAAAAAACAAGTTGTCAGCTCGACGTGGACGTCGGTCTGTTGCGTCGATCGAACAATATATATAGCGAAGAATTTTATCGTCCGCGGACTTGGTTCGTTAGTCCACGACCGCCTGTCAAACTTGGACGCGAGACGACTATCAGGTGAGCGCAAAAACGCCCTTGGCACGCACTTCTGCCCTTTGTACGTAGGTTTGTTCTCGCCGCTAGTTCGGCGCAGCTAACTGGCTCTCTCGGCAGCGCCAAGCTATCGGCATCGGGACCCGCGGATGGGCTCGAAAAACAGAACGCCAGCCGTGCGCCAGAGCCCTTGCAGGATATGCGCGAGGCCTATAAGCTGTCGTATAGCAACCGTTGGATGATGTGCGCGCGTGTGCTTGTGTGTCAGGCCGGCAGTTGCGGCGTTGGCGGCGTTGACGGCGTTGGCGGCGTTGGCGGCGTTGGAGGCGTTGGCGGCGGCGTCGTTTCCGTAAGCAGAGGCCGTTTCATCTCGCTGACGTCATTCCGGCAAGGGAGGCTCGTGGCATACAAACTTGCGGATATCGGCGAGGGGATACGCGAAGTCACCGTCAAGGAATGGTGAGGCTCCCCCTCTGGCTCAACCCTCTCTCCAAACCGACTTGTTCAAAAATAGCCGCAAGCTCACGGCTGCCCGGCTGCCTCGTTCTCCGTGGCGCCTGCTCGCGATCGATTAATTAAGCCCTCCCAGCAGGCATCGCTGCACTGGCGATTAGCGCCGATCGATCAATCATCCTATCGAATGGGCGCAGGTTTGTGAAGCCCGGTGACCGAGTGTCGCAGTTCGACAACATCTGCGAAGTACAGAGCGATAAGGCTTCTGTGACGATAACCAGCCGCTACGACGGCATCGTCAAGGCCCTCCACTACAAACTCGACGAGTCTTGCCTCGTGGGGGATGCTCTGGTCGACATCGAGCTCGAAGGTTCGTCCGAGGAGCCGTCCGAGGAGCCGTCCGAGGAGCCGTCCGAGGAGCCAGTTGCCGCGCCGACGACGCCCAAGCTCGAGTCGCCGGCTACGTCGACCGACAGCAAGGTGCTTACCACTCCCGCAGTCCGCAAGATCGCCAAAGAGAACGACGTCGATCTCGGACAAGTACCGGCCACGGGCAGGGACGGGCGCGTCCTCAAGGAGGACATCCTCGCCTATCTGGCCAACAGCCCTGCCTCGCGACATCAGCAGCAGCAGCAGCAGCAGTCACCGCCGCCGCCACTTCCAAATCTCCAGCCGACCTCTCAGAAGAAATACGCCAAGCACATGTGGAAGTCCATGACCCAGTCTCTGGTCAGTCGATTAATTCAGCGGCTTCGCGCAGCTTACTACAAGTTTCAGCAGATTCGCCGCGCTTTCTTTACAGACGATCCCGCACTTTGTGTACAGCGACGAATGCGATGTCTCCAAACTAGTCGCACTACGGACCGAAGTCAAGGAAGCCTTCCAACGCCAATCGCTCGGTTTATCTTACATGCCATTCTTCATCAAAGCCATATCTCGAGCTCTACTCGAATATCCCGAGCTAAACGCCTGGGTCAACGAGGAAACCGAGTCGCTGGACGTCAGGAAAGAGCACAATATTTCCCTTGCCATGGATACTCCAGGGGGATTGGTTGTGCCAAACATCAAGAACGTCCAACAGCTCAGTGTTGTCGATATTGCCAGAGAGCTCAATAGATTGCAAGCTCTTGGCCGCAATGCCTCCATTCCTCTCGCTGATCTCACAGCCGGTACCTTTTCGATATCCAACATTGGAATTGTGAGTCTCGATGTTTCTGGATTTCACTTGCGCGCTATTTCGCCAATCAAACTATTCGTCGTTTCATTTCAGGTCGGCGGTACCTACACAAAACCAGTCATATTATCGCCCCAAATCGTAATAGGAGCCGTCGGCAAAATTCAGAAGTTGCCAAGATTCGACGAGCACGATAACGTTATTGCCACAAATATATTGTCAGTTAGTTGGGCAGCAGATCACAGAGTTGTCGACGGTGTGACTATGGCTAAATTCTCCAATTTTTGGAAGCGTTATATCGAAAATCCATCTCTCTTACTTACAGGAATTTAACATGATCTAGTTATTTCTGAACATTTCTTAAGAAATAAGATTTATAGATTTTTTTATTTTATCTGCTGATGAACTTCAATTTTGTACAAAGCAATACATAAATTGATATTTTTCAATTTTTTAATACGTCGGTAGCTTTTGAAAAGAAAAAATATAATATAATATTTTTGTGAAACAAACGTTTACTAGTTGAGAACTATGTATGTAAAATGATTCTAAAGAAATCTCGTAAACAATCGTACAGATTTTAACAAATGATTCGAAAACAATATCCTTGAAAATAAGATCGAGAATTGAAAAGTGGTACAGGATCAATATACTCTAAAACAATTTTAACAGAACTATATATACAAGTGAAAATAAATAAACAACTTCATTCTTTGAAGAAATAATATTTATGTTTCCTAATTACTGAGAAACTGCTGCTCGTCCACCTTTGAAATTTTTAATCCTGGCTTCAATTTCTGGTCTAAAATGTCTGATGAGCCCTTGGACTGGCCATGCCGCACCATCAGCAAGGGCACAGATTGTGTGTAATTCTATTTGTTTAGTTAGTTCCCACAGCATGTCAATTTCCTGCACTTCTGCGTTACCTTGAACAAATCTAAAATTCAAAATATTAAAAAAAAGTTTGTCGAAAATTCATTTAAATTAGTTAAACTAATACGATATAGTAATACGATAAGCTATTGAAGGTACATTCAATTGTAAATAATTTATAAAATTATTAGATAAAAAATTCAACGGAAATTCATATTCTACATTGGAAGTCCATCGGGATACACATTTTCCAGACAAAATGGTTAGATATGAGCAAATCCTCAAAACACTTAAAATTCTAGTTACTCCATGATAATCGTGCTATATATAATAATAATAAGGGCGAATCAAAATTGGAACATTTGTTTTTGTAAGAAAAATAATGAACAATAATCTCCGCTAGTTTATTTGGGATCATCTATTATAGTTATGAAACTATAAATTGAAAATATCTAATTTTTTCAAAAATTTAAGTTGTAATTCGCTATAGACATTTATTTCTTATCATTGCAAAAAAAAGGCTTAGATAAATTACTTCAAAATTTGTTAAAGGGTACCTTTTAACACATATTATTAAAATAAATAAGTTTCAAGAATGTCTTTTGATCACAAAAAAAATACTAATAGAAGTATTACTCACTTTATAGAAAATCAAAAACTTCATAAATTTAATTTTTTTACAAAAAAAAGTTATATAAGAATTTATATATAAATGAATAGAACGTATTCTACTCTAGAAGATCAATCTAATGCAATTTTTTCATTTCTGTACCTTGCAAATACTCTGAGTAACAGACTTTTATAATCAGTATAGTCAATGAGTCCCTCATATTAAAAAAAGACGCTTTTTATTGGCACAACAAAAATACCTTTCCGATTGATTTAGAACTCAAAGCCTATTTATATTTATTCTTTTTATTTACGTTTTGAACGGTGCTTAAGTTGCATATTCATGGCGTCGACTAGTTGAACACAATTAGAAAAATTATAATAATCTAATATCAATATAATAATTTCCATATGTTTGCACTGATGCGTATACCTCACATTTTTATTTCAAAACAGATAGATTAAATTGTACGTGTATTGAAATATGTAAATAAACACTAAAAACATCGCGCGGAAAATTCAATGTCGTGGAAATTTTATTTTTTACAATTTAGTTTTACAATGGATAACGTCGGTGAAGAAGAGAAAAAGAAAATATTCATCAAGCTTTCATGTAATCATTTTCCACTCAAACCAATTAAATGGAATCGAGTCTATGCAAAATTGAAAAAGGTAACAAAAACAGAGAAAAGAGCTACCAAAAAAAGTACTTAGTTAAAAATATTCACATTTTGTATTAGAGTATTTGTAAATACTGTATTTTTAATAATAATTTGTTATATTATTTATAAAATTTGAAAAATAAATAAAGTTCAATAGTTGTTAAAAATGATTCATACATTTTCATTTCAATATCCTACAATCTTAACCTACTAGAAATGACTATTTTAAATTCAGATTTTTTATACTGTTTTACAAGAAGGTTTTTAAAAAAACATAAGCTCATATTTGTTACTGCTATTCAAATCACAGCTTTAAAAAATAAATAAAATAAAAATCTTTCTTTTCTTTTTTAATATTCTTTTTTAACAACAAATTTCATAAGTTTTGAGAATTTGTTCATATATGTGCATATGAAAATTGTGAAATATCACAATAGATTTCACTCAAAATTAATATGTAAAACAATATTAAGAAAAAACAAGAATCTTACCACAAAAATGTTAAAGAGAAAAAATTGTAAAAAAAAAACAAATTTTGTAGATTCTGATTTAGAACAAAACTTTTATAAATTTGAACACATATTTTTGTATTTTTTTCTATTTCTATTCTTGTTTTTTCCTATTTTTTCCTATTTTTCCTATTTAAAAAATTTAAATTTTCATATACATGAACACATTTGTATTAGATATCTAGGAGTGTGAAATTTATATTGCAACAATAAATGTAATTTATGAATAATTAATATAGATAATATATTGCAAAAATGGACATATATCGTTAATAAATTGTTTTAAGTATATAAGAAATCGTCATTTCAAATTAAGCAGGAATAATTTGATTACCGTTTGTGAAATTAATAGCGTCATTTTAAAATGTAATTCGAAAAGAGAAAAATTTAATAGAATAAAATGTAGATAAATACATTTTTATTTATTTTTTTTTTTTTCATTTGTAAAGTAAGAGCTTTGCGAGAAACGGAAACTAATTATTAGAATATTAAATTTGAAGAATGTTCACGGATATTCAAGGAAACAAGATAACATTCGACGTTGTAATATATTACTAATAGTATTAGATATAACACTGAGGTCTTGGAAAACTACTACTATTGACTAAAGTTATGATTGTACGATAACAGAATATTACCATACCACTAACAGATAATAGACAACGGAAAAAAAGCAATATAGAGCTCAAGGCGCGCTAAATAACGTTCGTAATATCAAAAAGTCTATCGAAACTGTTTGCAACACAATAGACAAAATAACTAAAAAAAACAATACCAAAATAAAAGTGACTAAAAGAGTCTGCTATTGAGAAACCTAAACAGCATCCAAACTGCATTGGGATGACCTACGAGAACATAATCTATTTAGGAAATAACAAAGCATTACTCTATTTTGATAGAGGCACAAAGGGAATACAAATTTTGAAAAACTTGGTATACCCACTAAAATTACCAACAAAATACAAAGACCTAATGATGTCATAGTTTTGACATCTTCTTACAAATGTAACTCAATTTTACAACACCAAACAATTTTCCCACACTAAAGAATAGCATGTGCAGTTGAACTTAGTTATTTAGCAAGACTTAACGACATAGAAAAGATCATTTATTCAAGCAATAAGAAAGCGACCACAGAGATTATACTATAGCTAGACAAATACTAATCAGATTCTGGTGAAAAAGATTATAACAGCATAATAACTAGTTGCTTGCTTGATATAGTAGTGCAAACTACTACTGTACAGGTAACACTGAACAAGGTTTAATTATTACGATTTTTGTTTTAGTTTTAAGTTTAAAATAATCCAGATCACCGGACAAGTAACTATTTTCTTTGCTGAATCACACATTTTTTGTAATGTATATGTATATTTATTACAATTATTTAATTTTTGAATATTACTCTGATAAATAAATAAAAATAAAATAAGGCCAAATCTTTTACCTCTGCATTATTTTGTACATCCAAGAAATACCCTCTCGGCAAGGAGTGCATTGACCACAGGATTCATGCTTGTAAAAACTAATGAGACGTGTAATAGCTTTAATGATGTCGGTTTGTTTGTTCATAACAATGACAGCTGCTGTTCCAAAAGAACTTTGAACTCGAACCAAGTCGTCGTAATCCATAAGAACAGTATCGCAAATACTAAAAAAAATAAAAGAAAGCTCTTGTAAATATTATGTTTTAATTTTTATTATTTAAATTCAACGCCTTACTGTTTTGGAATGACGGGTGTAGATGAACCACCAGGAATGATTCCCAATAGATTATCCCAGCCTCCTATCACACCACCAGCATGCCTTTCTATCAACTCTTTTAAAGGTATTGACATCTCCTCTTCCACTGTGCATGGATTGTTAACATGGCCTGAAATGTTGTAGAGCTTGGTTCCGCTATTTCGAGGTCTGCCAAGGGATGCAAACCAACTACCTCCTCTACGACAAATTGTCTAAAATACAAATATTTTTTTAATTTACATAAAATAATATTTTTCAAACACTCAAAATCAAGCTTACTGGAGCTACAGCAACAGTTTCGACATTAGTTACAGTTGTGGGACAACCAAAAAGACCAACATCCGCTGGGAAAGGTGGTTTTAGTCTTGGCTTTCCCTGTTTGCCTTCAATTGATTCAATTAAAGCAGTTTCTTCACCACAGATATAAGCACCAGCTCCTCTTTGTACAAATATGTCAAAGTCATAGCCTGAACCACAAGCATTCTTTCCAAGTAAGCCAGCTTGATAAGCCTCTGCAATGGCAACTTGAGTATTAGATGCTTCATTATAAAACTCTCCACGAATGTAGATGTATGCTGCACAAGCTCCCATAGCTTTTCCAGCAATAAGACAGCCCTCGATTAGTTTGTGTGGGTCATGGCGCAGAATTTCACGATCTTTACATGTTCCTGGCTCTCCCTCATCTCCATTAATAACAAGATACTTTGGTCTACCATCAGAAGGTTTATTCATGAAAGACCATTTCATTCCAGATGGGAAACCAGCTCCTCCTCTGCCACGAAGACCAGATACTTTAATTTCATTAATGATCCAGTCTGCACCTTTTTCCACTATTTCCTTTGTCTTATACCAATCTCCTCGTTTCATAGCCCCTTTCAACCTCCAATCATGACGCCCATACAAATTTGTGAAAATACGATCTTCATCTTTGAGTGGACCACATTTCTGAGACAAACATTTTTAAATATTTATAAATTATTGAAGAATTATAAACATGTAAATAATTTAAATATAATACTCAATAAATATAGCATATAATAATTGTGATAGAATAACTTAGCAATTTGAACTTGAATTATTTTGTTTTGTACATACGAATAGGTATCAATATAGCAGAACAGCTGACATACACTTAATACAAGTATAATGTATAAAAGTACTCACTTTTGCTTCGGGTGGAGCATCTGCATAGTTCCTTGATTGTTGATTATTTACAGCCTGCCCGAGGAGACCTGCAATAATTGGCAAAAGGTTATGTAACTTGCAACAATTTAGGTTTGTCTTCACGCACGGTGGAGGATTTGACAGAAATAATTCTCAATAGATCAAATATAATAAATAAATAGACTTTAAATAATTTACATTTCGGAATACAAATAAAAGCTTTGAGTACCTAATTGTCTCTTCGGGATGTGAAAATTGCGCACTATGACGCCCGCCATGTCAAACAGAACTGCACGAACTGCTGCGATTGCGCGACTATTGCACGACCAGATGTAACAAATAATTACGAGTGGATATAGTTATAAACTCGTAAAAACTGTAACAATTAATCAATGATATTCTAAGTCCAAACAATATATACTTTCAGTGAATAGAGGTATAATTTGTAACTTTTTGACCCACCGTTGATAAAATTTCTTTTTTACAAAAATTGAATAAATGATATATTTAATATTAATGTAAATGACAAAAAACACAAAAATCAAGACATTCATATTTCATCAATATTGATACAATAAGTTTTTTCACGTCAAAGTATTTCTTTTTGAATTTTAGGCTTTGGTTTGGTTTTCATAACAACGACATAGGTACCGTTTATCGTTTAGTGGATACAAACCATTATAAACATGGCGAAGCAGCCGAAAGAAGAACGATAACTTCTTGTTTTGAGAAATTTCCAAAAGATTTTTAAACAATGTGTTGGTGTGAAAGCTTCCAACGAAACAATAAAGATTAAAATAAAATTCATTTTTTTTTATAATTTGAAGAATACCAAGCTATCACAATGGATATCCGTGGTGTGGAAATCACAAATCAATTGAGGGTAAATAAAAATATAACTTTTCCTACTTTTCATCTGTTTGTTTTTTTGTTTACTCAATAAAATTCGTAATATCTATTTTCTCAAATAGATTTCTACATGCATCATGTGCATATCAATGAAGTGATTTCTGTTTTTTTTATTTATATGTAATAAAAAATAATCCTGAACAGAAATATTTTATTATTACTTTATTTCTAGAGTGCTATCAGGGCAAAATTACTTGAACTTGGAGTGCGTTATGATGAAGAACTACCTGATTATATTTTAGTTATGGTTGTGAACAAAAAATCTAGACAGCAAATGAATGAAGATTTGAATTTATTTTTAGAAGATAGTACAGAACCCTTTGTTGACTGGTTGCATGATCAAGTACTAAAAAAACTACAAAAAGTTACAGTTGCCAAGAAAAAAATTAATAAAGAAATTCCATCTGTAAATATTAAAAAAGAAGAAGAAAATAAAGTGAAGTTAGAAAATGACAAAAGCGATGTTGCAAATAAGACAGGACTCATAGCAAAGCAAGATAGAGATAGAGAATTTGAGGAACTTGTTGGAGACTTGGCATTTTTAAATGAAGAAGATCATTCAATAGAATCAGATATAAATAAAGATAAATCAAATAAGAAATCAAGTTCTATACATTCAAATGATTCAGAGAATAGTAAAACTCATTCTCAGAAACCAGAATTAGTAGCCTCTGATGAAATTCCAGTAAAATCTTTTAACATGGAAAACTCATCGACACCACCCAGAGAAGTGGAAAAAAGTAACATTTCACTTGAAAAAACAAATGATTATTTGCCGAATAAAAGAACATTAGATGTTTTAGGAAAAGATTCTCATGACGAAAATTTGCAAAGTTCTAAGCGTAAAAGATGTTCTAACCACTTTGACACTGAAGATGACAGAGGTAAATCCAGTGTAAACAAACCAAAAATAACTTCAATTGTATCACTTAAATCAAGACTTGGCGTCACTTCTCCATCAAAAAAACAAGATTTGCACAGCAAAAATGGCACAGGATCTAGAAATTCACCAAACAGACATACAGAAAGTAAAAGAAATGAAAATAACAATATGAATTATTCTTCTAATCGCAGTAGGAGTTCAGATAGAAGAAAACCAAATGAAGATTCAAGAAATGAAAGGCATAGAAGTGATAATTGGAGAAAAGATAAATCTAGTAGATCAACAAGTTTGCAAGATAATGGAAGATTCAGTGATAAATCATCAACAATAAAGTCTCGTCTTGGTAATAGTAACAGTCATAAACAGAGCAGATTATCTTTAAAATCTTCTAATTCTTCTAAAATAAGTAAACCTAAAATAAGTAGTATACGGAGTCGATTAGGAGTAAGAAATAAATCTCTTGAAAGAGAAAGTTTAGATTTAGTCTCAGATTCAATAAGAGCGACACATAATAATCAAAATTATCAAGAGGTAGATGATGATGCTGAATCTACAGTTAATACTTCTCTTAAATCTCAAATAATAGCTGTACCAAAGCCTAAATCACAAGATTCCACACAAAGATATTTATCAAAAATGCCAATCTCAAGTAAGAAGGAAGAAAGTGAAAGTAAAAACGAAGAAAATGATGATGATAGTGATCAATGTAAGGTTCCCAGTAAAGTGATTGTTACGCCTAGGCCTTTGCAGCCATTGCAAGCACTTCAAAAACGTGCTACAAAATCCTTGCTTTTAAAAGCAGTTGCAGAAGCCAATAAGTCAGTAGTCATGCAAAAAAAAGTTGATCCGTGTTTAAAAGTAAGTACAATTTCAATAATAAAATTTAAATGACGATAATAGTCTTTTATAAGGATTAATACATTATTTTTTAGGAACAGAAGCCAACAAGTAAAATTACAGTAAAGCGTGATCTTCGAGAAGGCAAAATACTTTCTGTACATTTGAATTCAAAAAAAAGAATGGTCATGGAAAAAATTCAAGTAGAGCTTGATAACAAACATTTGAAAAATTCTGGAAAATCTTGTAAGTATAATGAAAGTTGTAAATATTGTAAAGATTGTACTAAATTTAATAGTTTCAATAATACATATTTAGCTTCATCCAAAACAGTTACTGATGAAGATTTCAATGTAGTTAAATCATTATTCAATAGAAGTAATGACAGGCAAAGGTTTTTAGTTACCTTAAATGGATACAATAATAATATTTTTGAAAACCAAAATTCTGATGATGAAAAGCAAATTGACGAACAGGTAAAAGCATTAATTTTTTTCAATTAATTGTATAATTACATTTAATGATATTTACTTTCGTCTGCATAGATGAACGAAGACGATGAATTACCCACAATGAGTGAACCATATGAACCATACAATGAAGGTGAACATATAATAAATGATGAATCTTTTGAACAAAATGAAGAACAATATTATAATTATTATGAAAATGAGGAAAATCCGGAAAATCAATTCATTAATAAAAGAATTACAATTCAAGAAAATGATTCGTATCAAAATTTTAAGCCTGAAGAAAATTCTCAGAAAAAAAGGAAACTCAGTCCTATTGTATATAACAGATCTCGCTCAAACAGTCCTAATGATAAATCACTTATGTCATCTTTACTTGAATCAGTTTTACGTGAGTTTGATACACAATAAGTTTAAATGTTAGTATTTGCAACGTTATAGATGCTTTAATCTAATTTACGATTCATTTCTTAAAGATACTGATAAACGGCCAATGATAAGTTCTGTTATTACGACTCTACCAGATAAATCTGGTGAAAAATGTCGATACTGGCCAAATTGTACGTTAGGCATCAAATGTGCCTATTATCACCCGGAAGTTTCATGCAGGTAACATTATTATTCAGTATAATCTACAGTTTTAATGTTTGACTTAGTTCAAAGATCCGAGGTCACTCAGCTTTCGAGTTTTCAAATTGCTTTACATGTGAAATTTATAAAATTGTAGGAATAACCTTTCACAATGAATCTAGTTTTCGAGCTATTCAATTTTACCCATTAGTATCAAATCAAAATTACAATTATGTTTGCTTATTTTTGAAAATTCTTATAAACTTCGGAAGATTCAAAGTGGCTGAAAACACAAAATTTAGAGGAAAACTCAATAGTTCAATCTTTTAGCAATATTGTTCAAAATAATACAATTACAATAATTTAATAATCTATTATAAACAATATACACATTCAGTTGTTAATGAAAAATGTTTCATATTTTTGTAGTTCCTTTCCTGCTTGTAAATTTGGAGATAAGTGTGCTTACAAACATCCAAAGTGCAAATTCGGATCAGCCTGTACAAAACTAAACTGTATATTTTCACATCCTCCAATACAATGCAAATATCATCCGTACTGTATGAAACCAGGATGTCCATTTTCTCATCCGAAAATGTCGACTTCAAGCATATCTAGCATTTTGAGCCCATTAACTCCGGATTTGTCTTCTGTGAGAGCTAAATTTACGTGGAAAAAGAAAGACTAATAACTTGAGTATTAGGAATGGGTCATAAATAAATATATTCAATTTTTTGTTTTTTTTACTTATAGTAATGCTGTAAATTATACTACAAAATATACATTAAAATTTATCCTGATCCAATATTTACTTAAAAAGCTTTTATTCTGATTACTACAGTTTAATGTTACGTGTTATCGGTAGTAAATACACTTAAGCTTCTTTCACTGCTAACGTTACATATATTAAAAAATAAAACTTTTAAGTGAATAAAATGCTCGTGGTGAATTTTTCCATTTTAAGTTTTTAAAAACATCGACTTTTGGTTAGAGATTTTTTTATTCTGTAATAGCATATTTTATCTGAAAGAACTGTAAAAGTAGTTACTGAAACGAATGAATATAGACACTTGAGTATCTATATTCGTTATTAAAAATAATAATAAAAATTATAATTAAATTTAGCGATAGACAAATAATTAAATGTAATAAAATCTACATTTACATGGTTTTAAATTGTATATTTAGAATAAACAAGATAACGATTTTGATCTAATTTATTTTAGATCGTGTAAAAAATATTTATAATAAAATACATAATCAATTAATTTTGCATTTCATTATTAATCAAATTTTGTTCTTTTTCTCATAATTTGTTGTAAAATGTATATATATTCGTTTGATTCGCGAGTAAAAAAAACACTAAATATGCAGCTGTTATAATAATAGAATTTTTTGATCATTATGTTTATGATTATCCAAGAAAAATTATCTATACGATAAAGGTATTTTATTTTACAATTTAAAAAATTTTTTCACTTGACGTAAAATTCAATTCAGGCCCTCGTCACATATGCGCGTACGAGGGCGTACAAACGCGTACAAATCGCTAAAAATTTTGGTAGTGCCAACAACAGAAAATTACTTCTATTCCTCGCATGCCCCAAACGAACACACTTACTCCCGGAACAAACGTATCATAACGCTATATTATTGAAGGTTATGATACGTTTGTTCCGGGAGTAAGTGTGTTCGTTTAGAGCATGCGAGGAATAGAAGTAACTTTCTGTTGTTGGCACTATCAACATTTTTAGCGATTTGTACGCCCTCGTACGCCCTCGTCCGCGCGCATATGCGCATATGTGGCTCAGCGATTTCCTTAAGCGAATAAATTTTTAAACGATATTATTGGCTGGAATGGCAATTTAAAAGGACTGTGAAGGTAGCCCCCCCGATTGTAAGGGAAATTATTAAAATAATTTTGACAACGATATTAATTGCCCTAATTGTCCCTGATATCGGTGATAATTTCCCATTTTCAATTCGTCAAAGGAAAATGCGTGAAAATCACGATTTTCCTAGATACATGAACAGGCTCGTTTACTTTAATAATTATTGATGAATTTTTGTGTTTGATAGCTCAAAATTAAGATTTTAATAATTTTAATTTGTAAATTGTGCAACGAATAGGAAATGCGATTTGATGGACTGTCGAGGGAAATTAAAATCTTAAATTTTAAGCTATCAAACACAAAAATTCATCAATAATTATTAAAGTAAACGAGCCTGTTCATGTATCGAGGAAAATCGTGATTTTCACGCATTTTCCGTTGACGAATCGAAAATAGGAAATTATCACCGATATCAGGGACAATTAGGGCAATTAATACCGTTGTCAAAATTATTTCAATAATTTCCCTTACAATCGAGGGGGTTACCTTCACAGTCCTCAATTTAAATCACCGCGATTGATTGACTACGCGTTAGTGATCGATATATCGAATAGAACTTTCGTGCATAGTGTGTGTGCGTATATAATTTGTTTTGCGAGGGAAGGAGTAGAAGTAAGTCTGCGTCTTTGTTGCTCTTGTATGAATCATCAAATATATACAACGAACAGGTGACGAGTGTATCCTGCTGGAGAGAAAAAGAGATTCCAAGTCACGCATTATATACGTATCAGTGTATATTATATCCTGTGAATGCAACTCAAATGGTCTTGCTGACGTGTGCGTGTAGCCGTTGATGAGCGCCAAGTCTATACAGTTGATTGTGAACATATCGTCATATATAAAACGCCATTTTCTTTGTATATGCAGTGCGTGTAGTTCACAGAGTTGAGAGTGAGTGAGAGAGAGAGAGAGAGAGAGAGAGAGAGAGAGAGAAAGATAGAGAGAGGGAAAGAGAGAGAGCGAGAGCACCAGAGCGCGAAAGAGGAGAGGAGTCTGCTCTAAACAGAGCCTACCACTGTCGCCAGTGTGAGGAAGCGCAGCTGCAGCCTGTACTGCTCTAAATCTTTTCCTCTTTGTTGTTCGCCTATGTTGCCTGCTTTCGTTAAACATTAAACTCCTAGTGCATGCAAGTAAGTAAAAAGAGTTATTAATTATCGAGTAGATGCCTACGGCAACGTATAATAATTTATAACTGTTTCTACGCGACCTTTCGATTAAATTCTTCAATTTCTCTTGACATCGTCTGCCCTGTTTTGTTGTGTAGGTGAATGTACATTTGAAGGCAGACTTTCACACACAAGCACACACATTCCACCACTGCGTTCTCTCGTCTCTCTCTGTCTCTCTCTCCCTCTCTCTCTCCCTCTCTCTCTCTCTCTCTCTCTCTCTCTCTCTCTCTCTCTCTCTCTCTCTCTCTCTCTCTCTCTCTCTCTCTCTCTCGTCTCTATCTGTTTCTCTCTGTCTCTCACGCGCAATACTTGTGTGTCTGCCTGTGTCCTCTGTGTGTTTCTCAATTACGTCGTAATCGCGGTTTTTCGATCTTTGACCAGTCGCAGAGAAGTAAATACGTAAATACTAGGAGTATGTAGCGATTAAACATTACGTATTTCTGTTCGAGACTCCCGAGGGAAACGCATGCTTGTCGCGTCCATCAGTGTTCAAATTCGTGTTTAATATACAACAATCAGCAATTATATTTTATACACCGCGTTTCTCAACAAACGCTGCTAGATTTTAGATACACCAGATCGAATTTATTGGCAACTCTTTCACTCGTAACAAATCTTATTTTTCAAGCTACTTAATACGTCATAAGCGGATAGTAGGTATTTTTCCGTCTGCCATAGCAGTATGATTCAGTCGTTGCGTCGAAACAGTCAAGATTAAAGCTGCGGGAATAGTACAGTTTTACGATCCTTTTTACTTATGTTTATATGTATATAATTATCGTTTTGTGAAAACTGCTGTTGTATTTAATCTTTCCTTCTTTCGCCTCGCGATAACAATGTAATCGTGAATCAATTTCTCATGTGCAAATAATCACTTGATAATAAAACAAAGACAATCATGCTTACTAGCCAGAGTTAACAGTGTTGAATACAATGTTATTCAATGTTTGATTCATATTATTCTTATTCACAGATGAAGTAAAAACGGTATTGAGTATGAACAACTGATTGTCAAGCATTATCCAGAACAGTAGAATATACACATTTTCATTCCATACTTCCTCAATAAACTTAATCTTAAGCTTAACTTGTTATAAAGGTATGTAGAACTTGTGTTATCTATTTTTTGTAATTTTTGGAATATTTAATGCCTAATGAATGTTGCATTTTGAGCAGAATCAAAAATGGCATCTCGTAAGAAAGTTTTGTTGAAAGTTATTATTCTTGGTGATTCAGGAGTGGGAAAAACTTCATTAATGAATCAATATGTAAACAAAAAATTTAGTAACCAGTATAAAGCTACCATAGGAGCTGACTTCTTGACTAAAGAAGTGATGGTCGATGATAGGATAGTAACAATGCAGGTAAATGAGGATGAGTTATTAATTAGTATTATGCTGATAGTTAATCTTTTTATAGATAACATTAAGCTTTTATTCATTTTGGTGGCTATGACAAACATTTCAATTAATATTACTTAAAGTCATCATTGAACCTAATTGAATCTAACAAATTACTACAGTTTATTAAAATATTGCATTTATTTAGATTTGGGATACTGCTGGTCAAGAGAGATTCCAGTCATTAGGTGTTGCATTCTATAGAGGTGCCGATTGTTGTGTATTGGTTTTTGATGTTGCTGCACCAAGTACTTTCAAGTCATTGGATTCTTGGCGAGATGAATTTTTAATTCAAGCATCACCACGGGATCCTGATAATTTCCCATTTGTAGTTCTGGGAAATAAAGTAGATTTGGAAAACAGAGCTGTAAGTAAAATTCAGATATAAATTCTGTAAATGTCAGCAGATAATTTCAATTAATAAAGAAATAAATCATTATTATAATTAACGAAAATGAATTAATATTTTCCAATTAGATTTCTATTAAAAGAGCTCAGCAATGGTGTCAATCTAAAAACAATATACCATATTTTGAGACTAGTGCAAAAGAAGCAATTAATGTAGAACAAGCTTTTCAAACGATAGCCAAGAATGCATTAGCCCAAGAAAATGAAGTAAGTTTGAATATTCATATTCTAACATTGTACACAAAATTAATTAAACTTATTAACTTAAATAAACTCACAGGTCGAGCTATACAATGAGTTTCCTGACCAGATTAAATTGACAAGTGATCAAAGAAACAATGGAAAAGGAGACTCCTGTGCTTGCTAGGTACCAAATTCAAAATCTTTGAATGAATTCATAAATCTACAGATCAGATTATACATTTTGTAAGAATCTCTGTATTGGTGTGACAAAAACTGCAAGTTGGTGAAGTCTGAAGCATTTACCTTACTCTTCTTGAATACATTTTTATATTATATTACCAATCCTTTATTTGATCTTTATTTTTAATTGATATAGCAAATTTATTATAAAACACGAAACTGACGCAATGTCTTAGTATTTTAGGATTTTCTTTACATGCTTTATAGTTTATCCACAATTTTTTACATTGATTTATAAAGATGATTCATTTATTGATTTATAATGAAATGAATAAAATATTAATTTTACAAATATATACCTCTATTATTAAGTATAATCAAGTATTAAATTTTTACGTATATAGTAAGGTACGGTCAGTCTTGCCCTTGCAAAACTCGTTGTCACTGCCGCCGAAAACGAAGCGCGGTAAAGTGAGATTTTAATTGCATAACTTGCAAAAGTATCTAAGGATCCAAGGTATAAATCACTTCTATGAATACTATTAGAAATTCGTCATCACGTATAAAAGTGTTTTATAGAGCATGGCTCATAATGTACGCTGTATTATAATTAATTGCATAAAATTAATTTTCACTATCAATACACGATTACAACACGATTACTATTATTATAAATGTATTTACCATTCAACAGATACCATTTCATTTTGAGTAACGAATTTATAAATGTCGAATTTACAGTTATTCAATTATTGTTGCCGTTGAAAAACTGAAGAAATTCAATGATACCCAAGGCGTGTTTTATTTATTAATGTCAGATGTAAAAAGAGGAAACTATTCCGTTGAACGAGAATAAATTTTTATTATAGTATATAATAAGCAAACAAATCAATACATAGAATTTTCCCTTACCCCGATTATAATCGTTAATAAACATATATTTGTTGATGAAAATAAACAAAGTCTGAAATGTGAAACTCGTTACGAAAATTGTATAAAATATTTGTAAAATTATTTTACACGATGGTTTGCTCAATTATGTACAATAAGTTGAAATTATTCATTAAAAAAATGCAATGTTAATACAAATCAATAATTACATTTTAATCATACAAACATACAATTCTAAATGCTTCAGAGAATTACTGTAATATTGTTACTCTTGTACAAGTTTTACAAAAATGCTAAAAATTATGCATATTATGTCAAAAAGTAGTTACAGTGATATATAATTTTAATATTTGATAGAGAAATAAAGCCCAAAATTCAGTCGTAATCAATTTGTTAACGTTCTATTCATTTTCTGTGCACCTAAAATATTCAATATATATTTTTCATTCATTTATTTATTATCGTTATTAAAATTTATTTAAATAATAATTTTCCATTGTATTACTTACTTTATTAATTTTGTATTAAAATTAAACAAAATTGTATCTTGTAAGATATCTGTGTATGAAAATCATGATATCTCTGAACAAGTATTTGTAGTACACTGATTGTATAAAAACTTTTGAAATTAGACACAAGTTTCAACTTTTGGACTAATTTTCAATTCAAGATTGCTTTATTAAATAGTTTCTATTTCTCCATTCTATGCTTCAGTAATTTTCGGAAATCATTTTCCTGCTAAGTAATTTTTTTTTTGACTTAAAATAGAAAACGAAAGAGCTTCTGTAATCGAGATAATTTTTCTTATATCATGTTTTCGCATATCTCTGACGTGAATCAACCGTTTCGAATAGATTTGATCTCATTCAAAAGAGTTTGTTTTCGACTTGATTCCATTGCATTTATGGGTACATTAAATTAGTACTTTGGTTAGTATTTGGGAGTACTGTGCTTGATTACTGCATTACATGCGAATGTGGAAACACGGGAAGTCAATATTTTATCTAAAATTTTTAAAGATAGAAATGAAGATTGTAACTTTTAAATGTCTAAGACTTACAATTATTATAATGTGACTCCTTGTCTAAGCATTGACTTTAAGTAGGTTGCGTTCACTATTAACGTTCACTATTAATTACTTTTCATACAATTTTCAATCGAAAATCAATTAACTATTAGTTAGGTATACTTTTTTGCGCCTTTTATCGAAAATATTCATTTCTAATATTGCATTTTTTTATACAATTGGAGTTTGAAAGTTAAAGTGAAAAATCTTAAAGTCTACTCGTAGACAAGGCTTTATGTTGAATGTTGGAGTATATAAGTAACAAATAAGATAATGAGAATCAATAAATTACTTTATTAGAAAAATATGAAGTTTACGTAAAATTAAATAGTATAACACCAACGCACATATTTACAACGAATGTATGTTTACAAAGTGGATAAAAAATCCAAATTGTAAGATCTGTTACTCAAAAACATTCCGAATTTTAATGTTGATAGTATTGTAGGCTTAATAAAAACAGAATCGCTATCCGCAGTCAAATCAGGATTTCCAGCTAAAATATGAATCAAATATTAGAATACTAATTGAGAACAAGAAATATTATCAACTTTAAATAATTTACATACTCATATCAAGCTTAGCTGGTCGAGAAAATAAAGTTACTTTGGACATTTTTTGAACTGACATGATCACACAGCCAAGTCTAGTTAAAATCTAAAATAAAATGAAAATATTTTTATAATAATTATTTCTTGGAATATTTATGCTTGCAACTACTAATGAAGAATAAAAAACAATACCTCTATTAATTCTCTCGTATGATAAGGTTGTATAGCAGGTGTGAATCTATTTTGTACATTGGTAAGAGATGTACCAGGTTTTTCAAAGCAGTAACATAAAACTGCTCCAAGCATACGATCTAGAACTCGTCTATTTAAAACACCATCAATTCTTATCCAAGGCTTGATAACTACCTTTATTTCTTCAGCGGTGCTGAAAATTTTTTACGTTGAATAACCTTCCGTGATGACATAGTTACAAATTATATAAGTATATTTCTACTCACTTGAAATCCAACAATTTAGCTGCTCGATAAATATCTTTTGGTTTCAAAAGTACAGTTCTGTTTCGACGTAGCCTTTTCAGACTTGCCGCATTCCCATTGACATCGTTAACATTATCATTCTAAACGCAAAATATAATATTATAGTAAATTAAATAACAAGTTATAAATTGAAATGTGGAATTTACCTTAATTTCTTCAGAATTATTCATTTTAATCACGTCTGAATTGCTAATAGTAGTACTTGCTTCCATAATCTTATTATTATTTGTGTTTTCTGTGACATTTGTTTCCTAAAAAAGTATATACAAAAATTAATATCTGTAAATACTCTAGTTTGAATGACAATATGCTGTATAATATAAAGTTTAGTATTGCTTACAGAAGGTTTTTTAGAAGATTCAACAAAAATATTAGAAGCTTTGGTAGAAATTTCATTAGCATGAGACTTTGGAGTATTATAAAATAAATTTGCTGCTGTAGTGACTCTATTGTTTTCTTTTTCTTTGCCAAGTGTGCTTTCGTCGTTATCTAGAACGTAAACGCTGCCTCTTGGCAATGACTGATGAGATTCTTTTTCTAGGCGAAGTATTTTGTACGAATGAATAATCCAAGGATTTGTAAATTTTTGATATATGTAACGCACGGCAATTATTCCAGCACGTAAAACAATCCGTTTTTCCGATAAAAATACCAAAATATCGGCCAGGGTATTTTTGAGGTAATTGAAATTTGTCTAGAACATAATAAATAGCTTATTATTTGCAAAAGTCAATTTTATAGCATTATATAAATTACTTCAACTTGCCACTAATTCGTGCAGAGATGCGCCAAACTCTTCTTTGCTCTTTATGAATTTGCAAATGTTGTTTACTTCATTCCAGTCGAATTTTTCATTAGCTTTCATTTCTGTTTCGAAGTTCTGATAGGGAATGGGATTTTTAGGGAAAACCGCAAATTTCTTAATATCTTCCAATATTTTATCAGCTATTTCGATGTTAATAGGTAACAATGCTTTTGGCAAATTCATACCTTTATAAGTTGTTGTGGGGTTTTCAAGTCCTTCAGTTACCTTGAGAGATGAGAACAATTTAAATGAGTTGACAACAAAATATTCGTGAGCATGGTGGCTATCATGAAAAGTAAGATCGTGTAACTCTTCACGCATCCTCAACATGGCAATACGTGTTTGTCGTGTTCGTACATCTTGAACTTCAATGCGACTCTCAAGATCTTCCATAGCCTCCCAATTGGCAACATTTTTTACAAGTTCGTTTACTTTGATGTATGTACCTTTACTTTCAGAGCATGACAAATCTTCTTTATTAGAAATATAATCTAAAAACGATTGCATATGGTTAATAGATAAAGAATTTGTACTATTATTTTGCACTGTTGGTATGCCTAGATTAGTTTCTAAATCTTTATCAGCACAAGATTGCAAATCCAAAATATGATGCGTCCAAGACTGACTTTCAAACAAAAGGCTTTCGAGTTTTTGTTCATCATTACAGCAATTGATAACCATAGGTTCGCTCGTTAAAGCATTTTCTTCTGGAGAGCTGGTTTTTGGCGCTTCATTTTGTACAATATTTATCTCCTCTGTTCTGATTTTCATTTCAACTTCCGCTTGATCTTTCTCACGTCGCAAATTATCCTCGTCATTACTAACTTTTAGCCGTTTAGCTTTCAGATTTTGGTGATATTCTTCCGCCATTCGCTTTGTGGAACGAACTGCAACGAAATTTTGTTGTTCATCAACCATATCTGTCTGTCTGGCTTCATTCAATTCATTATTTTCATTTACCGTGCTCTAAAACATAAATGCAACTCGTATCACGACAACAGTCAGTCACATTAAAAATCATAATTTATACAAGCGTGTTACCTTTACATCATCGACAGACTCCGAATTAAGCCCATTTAAAATACTTTGATATCGAACTGCTATTCTTTGATAGACTTCGTCCTTTTCTGGCAAGCCTGGATCAAGCATGATAATTTGGTCAGGAATCTCGGTGTCAATGTCTATGTTATTGGCACCCAGAAAATCGTAGACTGCTGCTACCATACCCCCGAGACCTGGTTTCACTTCAACACCATTAATATCTTTGCTTTGCCTTTCAATATAATTTTCTAACAGCTGCATTAACATTTCATAAGATTCAGAAAATACTTCATAGGGCCATTTTGTCCGGAACTTGTAATAGTAAGCTGAACTTAGTTGATACTGAGAACTACTCATCGGCATGCAATTGCCAAACTTTTTGTAGGCAGACATATAACTTTTCTTCATAGTGACCATTTGATCGGCACGAATTTTCAGCATAGCACTTCTCAGTAGATACTCTGGATACTGCTGATATACCTACAAACAAATTTCGATTGTATAATGTAATTTGTTATGACATTTTGTCGAGGATACTTCGTGTAGCTTACTCGAAACAGTTGATAGGCCCAAGATCTCCGTTCTTTACCACAACACATGGAACTGTGAATGACAGAGTTGATTGTGGCTGTATGTATGTCAGTGATGTCCCTAACTTCTTTGGAAACTCCAGGAGATGAGATTGTTTTAGTAGGTAGCTTCAATTTGTGAAAGACGTTGAACTCTTGAATAGTTTTTGGAAGTATTATCGGCTCTCGGTGCTCCATATCCGATATGTTATAATATTTTTTAGCGATGTAGGTAACCAAATCTTTAAACACTTTTTCAATTTTCTTCTCGTACTCCATAACACTTTCACTTTCGCTTCTTAGCTTTTCATTTAGGCCACCAAATCGTTTGTTCACATGGTAATCTTGTTTAATCTGAAACATTAATGTAATTTATCACCAAAATATTGTTGGTGGTGGATGTTGTATGTGCAAGTGAATATAAACTCACCTCTTCAACTCCTAATAGAACACTGTTGACCGTTTTTGGCTGTTTCAGCATGTAAAGTAGTCTTCTCTGACATGCCCTTGACGTTTTATTGTACGATGTGAATGAATAGGAGCGCAAAACATCTCTTATCGCTGTAAAAGTAACTGGATTGCGTCTTGGATTTGGACAAAGATAGACCATCGCGACTTTGCATACCAGCAAAATGTTGTCCTCGTGTTGCTCCCAGTCAACTCGAAGCTTATCCATGCGTTGCAGAGCGCTAAAGTCTATTTCATCGTACTTAACGCGATTGCGTAGAGCTCGTTTTCGTGGCAAAACCTTACGAATCACCTTTGATGGTTTACTGGACTGTACAAAAGACAAGTTCAAAGGAACGTGACGCTTCGTCTTTGTCTTTTCTACAAATTTTGATGAATCTGTACCTGTTTTTCCTTGACCATGTTTTACTGGACTTGATCGTTTCTTTGTCTGTAAAAGAAAGCAGTATTTTTAACACGTTATATTTGAGAGCGAAATTATAATAAAGTACCTGAAGTACTTTGCGAGGATGAGAGGCACGATAGCGAATGCTTGCTTTAGTCAGATTGACCGTCTGCGTGGGCCAGTTTGGTTTTTTAGGCTTGCTTTGCTGAACGGCATTTATCCAATTCCAATTTCTTTTCAAATGAGAGAAAAAGGCGGAATCAATGCCGGCTGCACCTTTGCGATCTCCGGGCACGAAACCTATGTCGTCGACTATTGCTTCCGCGACAGTTTTTACTCTGGTAGCTTCAATCATTTCAGGCTTACGCGGGAGATCCTCCAAGAGGATGTCTTTGCCTTCTACTACATTGCGACCTCCCAAATCAGTGTTGATACACGTATTCCACATTTCGTACCAATAGCGTTCGACTTCAGCCATTGTGGAGAAACAAAATTTAATCACTGGATAAGGCTTGTCCTCAATTTTGTGATAACCAGCTGCGGATGATGTCGTGTCGAGAAGTTCAGTCTTACGATTGAGGTAAATAAAAACTTGATCTTTCTCCTTCAACATTTGTGGTCCAAACTGCACGAGACCCAAAAAACACAACCTCGTCACGAGTTCGTGAACACTAAACATGTACTTGCGCCTCAAAAATAATAAATTACGAATAGCTGACGGTATGTCTCTCATCAAAAAGTGTTTTTTCACTGGATGGTTGAGGTACTCTTGTAAACCCAGTACTTCGAAATTCACATTGTGAACTTTGACAAAAATAGACAAAGGCATTCGCAACAATATATCACGAATTAATGCCCATCCTTTTGGATAACCTGAAACAAGTTCATTTAAAACAAGATGTTTTCATTAAGGCCCCGGTCCCATAGGTACGTACGAATGCGGACGGATACGGACGCGAATCGCAACTCTAGTAACATCACTAAAAATATCTAGTTCGATTATTTAGTACCAACACTACCGGTAGTGAGCAAAAGTGACTGTTGTTTAAAACTGTAGCGCCGAACGTACCGCATTTAATGAACGCCTATCTAACCATTATATTATTGCAGTCTATAAGATGGCAAATGATAGAGAATTGATATACTTTCAACTACAATTAATTATTGGAATTAGGCCTTAATTTTATGGAAGTACTTGAATATATGAGAAGAAGAAAATATATATAAATGATATGTATTAATCATCCCAAAAACTTTTTTTACATTAGTATACTCATCAATAAGCAATATTCATGAAAATTTGAAAAGTAAATTGTAGACCTGACATTTGAACATTAAATGTGGTACGTTCGGCGCTACAGTTTTAAACAACAGTCACTTTTACTCACTACCGGTAGTGTTGGTACTAAATAATCGAACTAGATATTTTTAGTGATGTTACAACAGTTGCGATTCGCGTCCGTATCCGTCCGCATCCGTACGTACCTATGAGACCGGGGTCTAAAAGCTCATACCTCGATGTTTAGGTAGAGGTGGAATTAACATTTTCCAGTTAATTTCTTTGCTGTAAACATCAACATTTTTATCGGGTAAATCATCTGACGAGTATCCTTGTTGTCTGAGATGTTCAAAAAAATCACTTTTTGATTCTGGTTTTTCAGTATGATCGTAAATTAAATAATATAAAAATATATGCATTGCCTTCAAACGCACGAATTTCGGGCAGTATCCATATTTTTTCCCTAAACTCTGCAAAATATTCGAATAATAAATAAAAATCTTCAGAATATTATAAAATGAAACTAGATTAAACTGACTTACATCGTTTCTATAAATAATGTATTTGCCTTCTTCCGATTTTCTCGTACTTGATTCTGTGTTATCAACTGTGGATACTTTTTTTTCACCATCAATTAAATTTAATATATTTGTTTCCATCATACAAAATTTTAATTTGGCTTGTTCAATCGCCGACTGAATTACTGTATCGTCTTCGTTTACAGATGGATCACAGATAAAATTGACAACTTTTTCTTTTGTATGATTCTTATTTCTTAACACCAATTTGATGTACTTAATCAAATTATCTTCTGATAATTTTTGCAAGAGTCTGATGAGTGAATTTTTATCCATTCTAACATCAAGACCTTCTTTATCTTCTTCTTTGTTTATGTACTTCATTAATTTCTGCGTATCTTCAATTATCTTATGCTCTTTTACACTATCTAAGATTAAGTTTGCTCTGCGTATTAATCTATAAGAAACAGTTGATTGCAAATTATCAGAGTCTTGCACATCTTTCATAAATCCAACAACAGCGACTTTTGAGGATTTCTTCTTACATTCTGGTTTTTGAATAATCACATTTGTTTCTATCATTTTATAAAAATCACTTTCATGAATACCTTCAGTCTGCTGACTCTTAATTGTATTTGTACTATTATTCTCATTTAAAGGTAATTTTTCATTGCATTTGTAATTTATTCCTAATGTCTTTTTAATATTCGTTAATGATGTATACTTATATTTATTTCTAGTTTTTGTTATTTTATATTTCCGGAGTATGCTATTTGCCCTTGATAACAGATCTTGATTATTTTTATTAATTGCATTTTCATTTTTTGAATCAATATTTGCCAATAAAATATTTTCGTTAGATTCTAGACCATGCTGAATAACAACTTTTGTAACTTCACTTTCTTTGCCTCTGGTTATACTTGGTTTCCTTTTTTCTCCTACTACAGAGTCAATGTTTTTCTTTATTTTTATAATTTCGTTTTCTAGTTGTTTCTTTCTAAAATTTTGCGATTCAAATTTTTTTGATACAAATTTTTTGGTTCTTTGTCTACCAACATCATCTACATATGAAGATACAATTTTCGATTTGTCAAGATTCCGAAGTATTGCCCGACCTATTAATTTTGGGAATCCCATTTCTGTGGCAAGCTCGGACTGGCTAGCTCCTTTACTTTCTTTTGACTCAACAGCAGCATAAATCTGTTTCAAGAATGGTGTATATAACTTATGATTTCTAATATCTAGTTGACAAAAGTCACAGTCTTCTTTAGATTCTTCAGTACGCCAGATATCAGTTATTTCTGTATTTGGATCTGTTAATGTAACAAGCTTAATTATTCTTTCTTTGCTTGCATTAGCTTTCACATGCCATTCTTTGTCTGAATGATTTGGGTAATATGATCTATAAGGTACTTTCAAATCAGTTCTGAAAACTTTTTGCAACATTTGAATTTTGAAAAATTTTTTAATAGAATAATCCAAGTTTAGTTCAGTTTTAACTTCATTGTATTCAGCAGCATAATTTTCCTTTGATTTAAGAAAGTTGATAAGATGTTCAGCCCACATTATTACTTTAGGCTTTCTTACGTTGTAAAATCTAGTAAGGTGTATTAATGTTCCTATATTTTGACCATTATAAGCAGCACCTGTAGTACCTTGATAATAAACTTGCTTTCTAATCAATCCTTGCTCCAATAGAACTTTTCTCATGTAGAATAAGGTTTTGGCATCTTCTTTTATGTGAGCAGATTTTTTTATTGATATCTCTCCCATTTTTCTTGTTCTACCAATTCGTTCCAAAAGACAATAATGTGGTAGTGATAGCTGAATAATAGGACTCACTGTACTATCTATTAAAGCATTTTCTCTCAAATCTTGACTAGCAACAATAACTAATTTCTGTCCATATTTTTCAATAACCTCGCATAGAGTCAAATCTTTTACTATAGTAGATACATCTTTACGAGAATGATAAGTGGAGCAAGAGCCTTTAATACCAAGCTTAACATCCTCAACTGGACAATGAGGATAAATGTCTCGTTGATCATATCCCTGCAAGACAAAAAAAAATGATTGAAATTTTTTACTCTTTATTGCATAATAAAAATTTGCTTACTTTTTCTACTTCTGAGCTCATATACTCTAGCTCATAGCGATCAAATATTACCAAAGTCTCCCTGGCATTTTCTAATTCAAAAAATTTAAAGTCATGCAATTCTAAACAAATTATCCATATTTGTTGCATAAAAGCATTTTTTAATGGAAGAGTATCACCAAGTCTCATAGCTAATCGCTGCCATAATGCTGAAACAAAATTTTTTAAATAATATAAATAAATATTTAGAAAATGTTAACAAATGTGCTTATATTAGATTTCAGATAATCGATATATCAATAAAATATCAATAATCGATAAAAGTAAGTAAAAAATAAAAGTCAATATATGTCAATAAAAGCCAGTACAACTTAATACCTTCCAATGTTATTCCGTCCAAACCTTCTAAAGCAATCTCATCAATTAATATTTCAACTAAGCCAATAGATTTTGTCATGTTCATCTTTGCTAGAAAATGTAGCAATATTATCAATAATCAACACCTTTTTTTACAGTCCATACTAATTTAACGTATCTTTATTATGCGCCTATAATCTCTCGAAATTAAAAAGATGTGATTGTCAAAGGTTCCGATGTTGTACACAACACAAGCTATTCAGCTATATTAGCCAATTAGCTATAACCACACGGACCAGAGTAACGATGGTGAAGCTAGGTTGCCAACCCTAATGTTAATTTATGCTCCAAGCATCATGTCATTGCATGATGCTATAGAGTAACAAATGCGCATGAGCAAAAGATATTGGAGGGGCTCGTTTCGTTTATGGTATACGGCCAATACGAGACGAGATAGGCTTGCCATTGACAGCTATCTGCTTCGCGCTTCGTGTTCACGGCTATCAAAACACGTCATCAAAATATTCACAAGTATAGATATATATATATACATATTATTTCTATACTATATGGTAGAAATACTATTATATTAGTCCCACGCGCAAATAGTTGACGTAGTCAATCGTGAGTCGTATTTGACCTTTGCAAACATATTTCTGAAAAATGATTTGTGCGTCAAAAATTTTAGCTTTAGCTCCAAAATATCTTACTAAATTAGTTAATTCGAATGTCAGGTAAGTGTTTGTTTTTTTTACTATTTAATAGCTACAGGTCTCGAAAACTTCCACTACTTATTATTATGTATGTAATAGAACGTCGCATAATGTTAATGTAATATTTGATCTATTCAGAATATTATTGACCTAAATTCTTTATTAGATGAATGTAAATGACTTGCATATTTTCGTATTAATTTTGTATATATTTAATTACACTACAAGTATCAACATTGTAGTTTGAATGCATTATGTTCTTAACGTTACTAAAAATAACATTGCAAAAGTAACAGATTTTTTTGACCTTTGATCATGTGCTTTATTGGTGGACTTTGAACATGAACTAGTCATCTCATGTAACTCTTTGATAACTTTTTATGATATCAACTGATTTTCTTATTTATTGTACACTGTTGGTTTACTTTTATTATAAATACTTGTGAATTTTGGCAAGAAAAATAATTTTCAGTTAATTGTCAATATAGTATATAGACTTTTATTATTTAATTAACTTTTATATTACAGATGCTTTGCAACACAAGTAGCAACGAGAACAACTATAGAGAAATCAAAAGCTAACAAATCTATTAGCAAAGAATCACAATCATTTACTATGAACATATTTCGGGGTCAATTAGTATCTAATCAGGTATTTCCGTTCCCTGAATGTTTAAATGAAGAACAACAAGAAACATTAAAGATGATGATAGATCCAATTGAGAAATTTTTTGAGGTATAATGTTTTTATATAATATTCAAAGATCATGAAATTCAATTTTTTAATGATGTTTTAGGAAATTAATGACCCTGTCAAAAATGATGAAACTGCTTCAATTGACGAAAAAACAATGAAAGCCCTATGGGATCTAGGAGCCTTTGGCATTCAAGTTCCACAAGAACTAAGTGGACTTGGTCTTAATAACACCCAATATGGAAGATTAGTAGAAATAGTTGGACGCAATGATTTAGGAGTGGGTATAACATTAGGAGCTCATCAGAGTATAGGTTTCAAGGTACTTTATAAATATCATTGAATTCAATTCATTGATTAATTGTTCATGATCATCTGGTACAATGTATAATGATTGAAAATTTCCAGTTTTTGTACAATTAAATGAATATTTTAGGGTATTCTCTTATTTGGTACTCCAGAACAAAAAGCAAAATATCTTCCAAGAGTTTGTAATGGTGATATGGCTGCTTTTTGTCTTACTGAGCCAAGCTGTGGTTCTGATGCAGGCTCTGTGCGCAGTAGAGCTGTAAAATCTGCTGATGGTTCACATTATGTTCTCAATGGTAGTAAAATATGGATTTCAAATGGAGGAATGGCTGAAATAATGACGGTTTTTGCACAAGTACCAATGAAAGATTCAGTCACTGGAGAGACCAAAGATAAAGTCACCGCATTCATCGTAGAAAGAGCATTTGGTGGTGTTACTAGTGGACCACCAGAAAATAAAATGGGAATAAAATGCAGTAACACAACAGAAGTATATTATGAAGATGTAATAGTTCCTGCTGAGAATCTTTTGGGAGGAGAAGGACAAGGGTTCAAAGTAATGTTACAAGAATATTATTTTTATTATTTCAAATTTATTTTTGGTTTATGAACTAAATAATTTTAATATCAGGTAGCTATGCAAATTCTAAACAATGGAAGGTTTGGTATGGCAGCAGCTCTTTCTGGAACCATGCAATATTGTATTCAAAAAGCTGCAGAGCACGCTGTTCAACGAGTACAATTTGGGAAAACAATCGACAACTATGGAACTATTCAAGAAAAATTAGCTCGCATGGCAATGTTACAGTATATTACTCAATCAATGGCCTACATGATTTCAGGTATGATGGATATGGGTTATCAAGATTACCATCTAGAAGCAGCTATTTCAAAAGTAATTTATATAAATTTTGTATAAGATTTGACAGTTTTTTCAAGATTGATTTACATTTAATTTTAATTACATAGATTTTTGCATCCGAATCGGCTTGGTACGTTTGTGATGAAGCTATTCAAATTCTTGGAGGGATGGGGTACATGAAGGGCACAGGATTGGAGAAAGTGTTGCGGGACCTGAGAGTATTCAGGATATTTGAAGGAACGAACGATATCTTACGATTATTTGTTGCCTTAACAGGCATTCAGTATGCAGGTAGCCACTTAAAAGAATTGCAGATGGCGTTTAAAAATCCGACTGCTAACTTAGGTTTGATTGCTGAAGAAGTATCCAGAAGAGCTACCAGAGTTATTGGTTTGAATTCACCAAATTTGACTCCCTTAGTCCATCCTAAACTTGCTGATTCTGCTAATTTATGTGCCAAAGTACGTTATTAATAGCTAAAAGTTCTATATTATTGAACTTTATTTAATTCTCTATTTTATTTCCTGATAGAGCATTGAATCGTTTGGTTCAACAATTGAATCCATTCTGGTAAAGTACGGCAAAGGAATAGTTGATGAACAATTTATATTGAATAGACTGGCTCAAGCAGCTATAGATACGTTTACAATGGCTGCCGTTTTGAGTCGAGCAACTTTATCTGCTAGTAAGAATCTTCCATCGGCTAAACATGAAATGTTGATGGCCGAAGTCTGGTGTTCTGAGGTAATCGAAATTTTCGCTGTATAAAAGCAAAATATCGAAGTATATTGACCATTTTAATAACAAATTTTTTTTGTATATCTCTAGGCTTCCAGTCGTGTTGCATATAATTTGAAAACAGTTGGCGCTTCTAAAAATTTAGCTGTTTTTTCTAATCTAAGTAAAATATCAAGAAATGTTTGCGATGCTGGTGGAGTCGTACAAGTAAATCCTCTTGGATTTTAAAGATAGCTTATGGTATTTATGGTATTTCTTATTATATTTAAAGTTTTACTGCAACTATCATATTTGAGTAGAATATCGCATAGTTTGATAAATTCATATTGCAGAATTGTCAATTGTTTTAGCTAAAAATACATTGGGATTTTTATTTTATAACACTTTATAGTTTTATAACAATGATAAAAAGAATTCATGACTATTTTTGTAATGATATTTGAAGTGCCTTTGCAAATTTAATATTAATACTTGTGCTTGCAATAGGAAATGTATTATTGTACATACCATTCAATATCATTAATTCTTATACAAATTTTTATTTTTGTTGTATACTTGCGGAAAAAAAACGATTTTTAATTATAATGTTAGTCAGTTGATGCAAAAACAATGCAAATTACGTAAGTTGCTAGAGTATTGTCAAATGTATGTACATAAATATACCAATTTTTATATAAAATTTTTCAATTAAAACAAAAAGAAAAAACATTTCCATTAAAATTATTTACGTGACTTATTATTATCTACATTCAATATTTCAAATCTTCTTTGAAACCATTTTATTATTTCGAACAATATGAATTACACTTATACACGTATATATATAATGAAGCGAGGCTGGGAAGACATACAACACTACAATCTCTTTCCCGAACATCTAGTATATACGTGTGTGTGTATAGGTATGGTATTTTTCGACACTCCGTGCGCAAAGTGCGTCTTTCCCGCACGCTCGGCAGAAAACGTGCGTTGAAAATTGCACTTTCCACACGTCGTATCAAAAAATACGGTACGGCACATGTTCGGGAAAGAGTTTTTCGTCTCGTGTACCCTTCCACCCTCGCTTCGCTCGGGCGTAAAAGCCACACGAGACAAGAATCTACTTTCCCGCACTTGTATCGTAATGTACTATTTCGACACTCCGTGCGGAAAATGCGCTTTTCCCGTACGCTCGGCAAAAAACGTGCGTTGAAAATCGCACTTTTCACACGTCGTATCAAAAAATACGGTACGGCACATGTTCGGGAAATAGTTTCTCGTCTCGTGTACCTTTCCTCCCTCGCTTCGTTCGGGCGTAAACGCCACGCGAGGCAAGAATCTACTTTCCCGCACTTGTATCGTAATGTATGATTTGTGCATGGCGTGTTGATATAGTACGCACTGCGATAGAAATATGGGAATAGCATATTACGATACAAGTGCGGGAAAGTAGATTCTTGTCTCGGGTGGCGTTTACTTTATTATACTTAAACTTGTTCTTCAATAGTTTTTCATGATATATTGGATTCCTTGAACAATTTTATTCCAGCCTTTTTTGTTAAATATAATGCTGTAATCATAAGAACAATCAAATTCATAGCTACTTGCTTAAATTTTTTATCAAAAATAAATATACTTGAATAACAATAATTAATATTATTACAATTATTATAAATGGAAATTTTTATAAATTTTGGTGTTGAGCAAATAGATTTACACGTGTTATTGATAGTACAATTAAATTTGAAAATTATTCAATAGAACTTAAGAAGAATATTTGGAAGTCTCACCAAGTTTATTGTAATTTTTTGGATTACTTTTTTGGATTAATTATTAATCATTTATTAATAATACAATAAATTAATACCATGATTTATAGAATTAATAATAATTATTATAAAATTAAAAACCAGTTGAAAGTAGCAATTTTATTTTTAAGTCTTATATTAACATCAAACTGTATGATAAATGGGTTAAAATAGAAATAATAATTATTTTCGATAGTTACGGAATAAGTCTTTATAAACGTAATTTTATGTTAATTGTGTACGTATTTGATTTCCAAGATATATTTTAATAGAGTCCCATGTTCGAACCCCAGATAATACTACATATAATTTCTTGGGTCTGATAACATCCCTGTGCAGATAAGCTACGAGTACAAACATTCACTCATTAGCGTCTTTTCGTCATCGTAATTCAGAAATTTACTGTACGATGAATTTAATCGAAAAAAAAAATTGAATCGCTGTAATCTATGTTTTTAAGGTCGCTCTTTCGAATTGTGATGGTTAGAAGTCCCTAAAATGAGTTTTTTATGTGAAAATTACAAATTAAAAAAAAAATAGCACTGTTATTTATTTATTTTTTTTTTTTTTTCATTTTTTTTTTTCATTTTTTTCACCTTTTTCTTCACCTTTTAATACCGATAAATATCGCATCCATGGGCCCAAAACTAAACGTTATTGGCTTAAGATTAATAAAAAAAATTTATATTCATATGAAATGGTGTCCGAAACAATAAATTTTACATTTCATTTTCAGCAATTTTTTTCTATTGACTTGATTCTTTTATTTTATTTGTCCACGTTTTTTCTGGATGTGATTTCACTAGCACATTTTCAATCAAGGCAAGAAAAACATAATTTCATTAATCAAAAATTAAAGCTTTTCAAAGAAGTACTTCTATTTTTTATGAAGAAATTCAAGTTATCGACGACTTATATCCTGTTGCTGAAGAAATAACGAAAAGTTGATATAACAGTTTCAAAAATAAGAACTTAATACTCAACGAACTTCGATACAAATTTTATTTGGCTTCAGCTAAAACTGCCAAAAAAGAGTCGATATTGTCATCAGTACCACCAGCAAAAGCAGCATCGCAAAAACATTCGAAACGAGTCTATTATCAAATGTAACTATGGCTGGGAATAGGACGGACTCTAAATCCGAAAGTTTGGGGATGGGAAAAGACTAATTTTATTATTATTCCCACGTTAATAGACATAGGAACTGCTGTTGTATCAGAAGAGTTTCTAAAAAAATGTAAGTTACATTAGCGATAATTTATATTAATTTATTTACAAACTTATGTAGCGTTATCTTATAATTTTATTTATTTTCACAACTATTGTGCAGCTGTCAGGGTAATTGCATAAAAGGCCGGTGTGATTGTAAAAAGGTTGGTTTGAAATGCAATACATTTTGCAAAAATTGCAATGGTGAAACGTGCGGCAACGCATCAGAAAAAACAAGACATAGTGCTGAAGATCACGATATCGACGATGTTGATGAAGATATAAAAGAGAGATCAATATTCCATCAATCAAAAATAAATGAATTTCCAGATGCAGCCATGGACGATGAATATCAACGCGGCGATGAATGTACTGAACATTACGACGATGAAATGTTAGAAAATAATACACATAACTTCGATAATTAGCATATAATTTGTCTCTGATATGTATTGATAATTCTTTTAAAATTTTTTGTCATATTTTTGTATTTTCATTAAACAAAAACAGATTTACCATGATGTATCGTTTCTAAATAATGTTTTTTCTTTTAATTCGCAATAATCTATATATAGAAAAGCAGAACTGAATGTACAGTTATTTAAATATTAGTTATATAATTTAATTAATTTAAGAAATAATTAGATACTTTTCTTTACTATTTTCTTATTAAATATTTTAAAAATTTGTTAATTATGTGACGTGGGGAACAACGTTACGTAAAAAATGTTTTCCGGAATGGTTGGCGAAACCGTATTCCTAGATGAGTCGGGTGTTGGTCTAAACTTGCGTGTTTGAACCAGGGATTGACTTACGTTGCAAAATGAGAATGGGAACTTCTGGAAATTAACAGGGGTGATTCTTGTATTTTTAAAAATTAGAATCGAAGGGGAATCGATTCTACGCTAATAAAAAGGAAAAGGTAGCAAGCTAAACTCTACAGGTCGTCAGGCGTACAGTGTAGAGCGGAAGAAACGGCATTTTTCGCATAAGACTTCCTAACGCAGAAATTGTTCTCGTCGTCAAGCGCACCGAGAAACAAATTTTATGCTTTTGCTTTGAGGAAAAAGAAGCGGCGTCCTTCACGCAGATCTTCTCTAACGGGGAAATATATATACCGGGTGTTCCAGACCATCCGTACAGCCATTTTAAAATCGAAAGTTCGTGTTTTTGTGAAAAATGTTTCAGATGAAAGTTGTTTACGACAAAGGGGGCCATCTATCTGTATAATTAGTTTTGACCTTGAACATCGTTTTCAAGGTCATTTGAAGGTCGAATTGTTTTTTTTAAATGGGAACTCCTATTTTTGACACCGAATTCGGAAAGAGCGGGAAATTTTACGTCCAAAACGGTATTTTTAAATGTTTTTTCATGGCCTTGAGAAGGTCGATTAAGATCAAATGCTTGAAAAACTGCCTAAAAGCGTTTTTTTTAATTTTTAAGATATCGTAAAATGACCTCTATAAAATTTGTTCAGAACAGAGTGGGCCACCCAATGCACCAAAAACCTTTGACCTTTAACCTCATTTTGAAGGTCATTTCAAGGTCGAAGTGTTTTTTGTAATGGAAACCCCTCTTTTTGACCCCGGATTCGCACATAGCGCGAAACTCAACATAATTCCTTATTCAAACGTCGGATTTCGCGCTATGTGCGAATCCGGGGTCAAAAAGAGGGGTTTCCATTACAAAAACACTTCGACCTTGAAATGACCTTCAAAATGAGGTTAAAGGTCAAAGGTTTTTGGTGCATTGGGTGGCCCACTCTGTTCTGAACAAATTTTGTAGAGGTCATTTTTCGATATCTTAAAAATTAAAAAAACGCTTTTAGGCAGTTTTTCAAGCATTTGACCTTAAATCGACCTTCTCAAGGCCATGAAAAAAAATTTTTAAATACCGTTTTGGACGTAAAATTTCCCGCTCTTTCCGAATCCGGTGTCAAAAATAGGGGTTCCCATTTAAAAAAAAAACAATTCGACCTTCAAATGACCTTGAAAACGATGTTCACAAGGTCAAAACTAATTATACAGATAGATGGCCCCTTTTGTCGTAAACAACTTTCATCTGAAACATTTTTCACAAAAACACGAATTTTCAATTTTAAAATGGCTGTACGGATGGTCTGGAACACCCGGTAGAAGATAGAATGAAAGGAATAGCAACAAAAGAAAGATATATAAATTATTTATTTTGTTATAAATTTACTCTTTTTTTTATTTAGAGGTTTAATTAGGATATAACTTGGGAGTTATTGGCGAGGAGCGGTGCTAAAGTCGTACACTAAAAATTCTGTGTTGCTGGTCGAATTGAGAGCTGCAGACCGCCTTTCGGGGGAGCGGGTCTGCTTTTATACCCCAAGCGTACCGTAGGCGTGAGTATTCGCCTCAGAGGGAGTTATGTTTTTCGGTGTTTATATTATTTGGGGACGTTATTATTTTAATTTGAAAGCGTGCAAGGATTTATTAATCTAAATACAAAATAGCTTAGGTAAATCTCTTAGTGTTCTAATATAATGATTGGAACTCTTAATTGTATTTTATTTTATGAATTAATCGATTTCATACATTAAATAGTTTAATGAGAGTAAATGCAATCTTCATTTTCAATTATTAATTCCTTAAATTGCTAAAGGCTTACAATGTAAATCGATTAAATTATAATTTTCCTTAAATTTATCCATCTTTTAACAAATTAATTTGTAGTTATGTGTGATTCGCTAACTATAATTTGAACATGTTATGAGTGTTATTTTTTATTGTTTATTTAATTTCAATGAGTTTCCGTTGGATTTGACGGTTAAAATTCCTTTAATAATATTCAAGAATCATTGTTTCTTGAAGACGAATGAACTTAATTATTTATTTTAATTGATTTTCATGTAAAAAAAATGCGATCGTATAAAATAAAATTTAACTATAAAACCTATTTCCCTAATTTAAACGTGAATCATATATCATATTAAATTTTACTATTTTAATTTTTGGTTATAACAATTCGTCCTGTATAAAAGAGTTACTTAATCGGTGAAATATGAATTTTAATAACAAAAGATACATTATCAAATGTTAAATTTTAAGATGTATAGGAAAACGGAAAAATCAAAAGAGAAACATACCCTAAAGGTACGAGTTTACTTCTTTTTTTTTTTTTTTTGAACCATGCGGCCGGAACAGATTTAGGTGGGCTTTGCTATAAAAAGCGAGACGCTAGATGGTAAACACCTACAATCTACGTGGATGATTTATTTTTCTTCCGATATTTATCTACATTTTTGGATTGCAGTCTATTTGCATAGCTTCTCTCAACGATATAAATAGATCTTGGAAAGAGAGATTTTTAAGTGTTTTTTTTTCCTATTTTTAATGGTTTTTTTTTTGGAAATATGATTTACCACTTTGATGTTATAAATTACAACTAAAATAATATTGAATTTAACTTATGATTAATCGTCCGACGTTACAAATATATACAGGGTGAGTCATTTTAATTTCCCCAGTCTAATAACTTTTGAAACAAGCAAATTACGCAAAAATGTTTCAGACCAAAGTTGTAGGGGTTCAAGGAGGACATCTAGGGGTGACTTTGAAATTGACCTTGAGCTTGACCTTGACGGCTTTCTCAAGGTCAAGTCTATTTTTTTATTGGGAACCCCTATTTCTGACCTCGGAATCGGAAAGAGCGGGAAATTTTACATCCAGATAACATCTTTTAACATGGGTCAAAATAAACCCTTAAGGTCATGCTAAGGTCAA